CCTAAGTACCTTGCAATAGGAGAAAGGACAAACCCATCTACTTCTTAAAATGCTTAGGACTATAATTCAGCAAAACGGACAGTAACTCTTCCAACCTCTGACCTGTTGATTACTAGTGAGTTTTCATGAGAAAGGCATGGTGGTGCATTGGGTGCCTGAGAACCATTCCCCCGCCTGGCCCACGGGGACAGACGGACTGAGGACCTGGGGAATGGATGTACAAGGCCCCAGGTTCCTGGCTGGTCTGTAGTCAGTTTATTTCTCTCTCCTCCCCAGCGTAGTCCAATCTCTCTCCTTAAAGCACAATTGTGGTCATCGTCTTGGTTGTACTCATCATAGTTCCATCATCCTAGTCTCCTCAAAGTCCTCTCCTTAGTATATCCTTCCTAGCCTCGTCATAGTTTCATAGTCCTCTATTTCCAGTCATCGTCTTTCTAGTACATGTCCTTCTCCTCTCTATTTCTATATAAACAGATTTATATAGAAACAACCATGAAGGGTAGAGATACACAAAGGTGGGGTTGAACATTGTCATAACAGCAAACAGAGGTAAAGTCACTCCTTCGGGGAAGTTCTAGGGGATTACCTCAAGGACAAACTCTCACCTGAGTGGTCAGCACTTCAGATTACTAGAAAATTACTATGAGATCTGTTCAAGGGTAGATTCCTTCCAGGGTGTATTGCTTTCTCCTTTTCTCAACGAGTAATCCATTTAAACAATCATAGTAAATTTATTTCTTATAATATTTCTAGTCACTTTGTAAGAACACAGTAAAAGGTATATTAAGTTTAAGATTAGCTCTTCCTGGGGACATCTCGCCATATAATCCAGACCACAGTCTTCAGGCCAGGTTAGTCTTCTCTAACCCCAGCAGGATCCTTATGCAATTACATCTTTTTGGGTCATGATAGAGTTTGTTCCATGACCAGGTTCTTAACTTATTATACTTATGGTGTTTAGCATGTCCTCTTTCGATGCCAGGGTAGCATACGGGTTGCCATGGGTCTCTCCAGTCCCTTCGTCAGGACCCTACTTTTGGAGTGGTAGGAACTAAAGGTAACTGAGGCTTAAGTCAAGTTAGTATGGATGCCTAGGAGTAAATATTTTGGAGTCAATTAACTCCCATATTACAAAGCATAGCATGAACTATCTTCCTGTGTCTATACAAAAAAGGACATATCTAAATAAACCATGCAAAGGACATATAAGAAAAAGAAAAGCAACATGGGATTATTAGTGCTTGACGGAATTGAGTGTGTCTCAGGGGCACTGTTATGGGAGTAATTCAATAAACCTAAGCTCCCTGTGAGAGGAGCAAGGACAACCCAATGTTATCCAACACTGGTCTACTATGTTACCACATACTCAAACAAATAATAACTCAAATGCTGTTAATGGAATGAAGGAACAAAATATTATGGTTTATTCCATTTTTATTATACTCCATTTAAGGGACCATATGTGATTATGAGCACTATCTTTCACAACATCTCCACATGAAATGAATCTTCTCAATCCTAATCCATATCTCTCTTAGAGAGATTTCAAGTTTTGAGGAGGCACAGAAACTCACGTGAGGTATATTTCTGACACACTGGAAAATTCTGGTTGCTTCATCTCTGCCACTTGATCCCACATTGCAGCATTTCCGGAAAAGCCATGGCCTCAGCTACAGTTATCAAGAAGTTAATGGAGGACATTACCTGCCCCATCTGCCTCGAGCCGCTGACTGAGCCCGTGAGCATCGACTGTGAGCACATCTACTGCCGCGTGTGCATAGTGGGCCTTATTGAGAACCAAAACTCTGAAACATCGTCTCTGGGGACATTTCATTGTCCCCAGTGTCGGAAACCTTTTAAAAGTGATAGTCTCCGGCCCAACAAGAAGCTGGCAACTATCATTGAAACCTTTAAGGAAATGGATCAGAACATGTGTGATGAACATGGAGAGAAGCTCGCCCTGTTCTGTGAAAGTGATGGTCAGCTCATCTGTTGGCACTGTGAGAAGACACCAAGACACAAAGGACATCTCACTGCTCTTGTTGAAGATGCTTGTCGAAGATACAGGGTGAGTGGGGGGACAAGAAAGTTCCTAAAAATCTCATCGGATAGTGCTCTGAAACCTTATTTACTTATTTATTTGACAGAACTTATTTTCATTGTAGCATATCCTTCAAATGTTCTCTGTCACTCACTGCAAAGGTGAGTTGTCACAACAGTCTCACTAAGAAAATGCTGAACTCCATCTACATCCATCCATTCATTGATCAAACTTCCCCTTCTAGTTCCTCAAGGTTTCCCCCCTTGGTCAGAATCCAAGTGCTGGTGTTTCTTTTGCCTTACTCAGTTTCTTTATATTGAATGTTTGAGGGACATCACCTGGAATTTGTATACCTCTTTCTGAATTATTTTGTCTATAATTATACCTCCACTCCATCCAAGTTGTCACAAATGGGAATGTTTTTAACTTTAAACTTTCCTGTTTTATAACTAAGTAGGATCCTATTGTGTGAATATACCATATCTTCCTTGTGAACCATTTTATCATTGGGTACTTGTGTTTTTTTTTTATCCTTAGTATTTTAAATAGCAATGTATTGAATAGGTGTGGCTCTATCCTTGAGCTAGGGCTTTGTATTCTTTGGATAGATACATAGAATTAATTCTAGATCATATTGTAAGTATAGACCTTAGTTGACCAAGTAAACATCTTCTGACCCTTTGTAATGATTTTCATAGAACCAATCCAGTTTTTACTCTGACAAAAAAATGTATGAATGTTTCATGTTCTACAGAAAATCACCAAAATTGTCATACCTGGTGTATGTGATATAAACTGTTCTTATATCTCTGAGTGGTTTCTGATAGTAGTTCTGAATTGTATTTTTTTCAGTCATATGATAAGTGATAGTGAGCAATTTTCTATGCCTGTTGACAGTCTATGTTTTCTTTAGAGTAATCTGCATTTTGGAACCAGAGAGATTGTACAAGAGGAAAGGTATTTGCCTTTCTAACTTTGCTTCAAATTCGAGACATCTTATATTGTCACTCAAGCACCACCAGAAGTGATTCCTGAGAACAGAGTCAATTGAAATTCCTGAGCACTTATGAGTGCCCTCTGGAAAAAGAGATAGAGAGATAGAAATAGAAAAAGAAAGAGAGAGAAATGTGTATTCACTTATTTGGCTTTTTTTGTTTATCTTTGATAATGGTATTTGGGGGTTTTATGATTTTTTACAAACCTTGGTTATTGACTTCCTGTTAGATATATGAGATATAGTTTCCCTCTCTTCATATGATAACTTTTTGTTTCACTGATATTTTCTCTATCTTGTAAAACGTTCTTTTTATTTCCATGTACTCTCAAGTAATTATTGCTTATTTATCTTTGTTTCCCTGGTTATTGAATCAACTCTTCAAACTTATTGCTGAAGCCATGCTACAATTTTTTCATGTATATTCCTCTCTGTATTTGTGGTTTTATGTCTTATGTCTAAGTTTTTAGTTATATTTTCAGCTAATTTTTGTGTATGGTATGAGAATCAGTCATTTCATGTTTTTATAAATGGATACTCAGTTTCCCCAGCATTGTCTAAGGCCATACTACCCTGGCACCCGATCTCGCCAGTTTCCCCAGCAGTATGAGTTGAAGAGACTTTCCTTTCTACATTATGCAATTTTGTATTATCCTTTATCACAAGTAACCAGATTTGTATGGCTTTATTTCTGTGTTTTTGGTTTTATTCCATTTATGTTTGTGTGTGTGTGTGTGTGTCCATGTGTGTTCACGCATGTGCAAGCCCTCCAGGATCTTGTGTGAGTCCTACAAATTTTCAGTTGTTATTTTCTTTCTTTTAAAAATGCTGTTGGGTACCAGGAGGTTTACTCCCTGGCTTGGAGGCCAGTGCACATGCTAGGGGAAAAAGCAGCTTAGATAGAGAAGGGAGCACCAAATAAAGGGTGTTGGGAGGATCCTCCCAGGATGGAAGATGCATGCTGAAAGTAGACTATAGATCGAACATGCCACTCAATGCCTCTTTTGCAAACCACAGCACCCAAAAGGAGAGAGAGAACAAAAGGGAATGCCCTGCCACAGAAGCAGGGTGAGATGAAGGGCGGGGAGGGATACTGGGATCATTAGTGGTGGAGAATGGGTCCTGGTGGAAGGATGAGTACTCGATCATTGTATAACTGAAACCCAAGCACTGAAATTTGTAAGTCTACAACTGTACCTCATGGTGTTTCACTAATAAAAAAAATAAATAAAATTATCTTAAATTTTAAAAAAATAAATAATAAAAATACTATTGGAGTTTTAATAGAGATTGCATAGAATCTTTCAATTATTTTCTGCAATTTATCCAGTTAATCAGTGTTAATTTTTCTACAGATATAGTGGAAACGTCTTTGCATTTTTTGTATTTATCTTCTATTATTTCTCAGATCAGTGTATTAATAGACTTTTGGCAGGTCTTTACTTCTTGTTTTTAACTTTTTGAAATATTTGAGTTTGGGCAACAGCTGGTGATGCTCAGGAATTACTCCTGGTTCTGCATTCAGATTTCTCCTGGGAGTTCTCAGGAGACCTTATGGGATGCCAGAGATCAAAATCAGGTCAGCCTTGCATAAGGCAAGCACCCTACCAGCTATAATTCCTCCAACCCCTAAAGAATTCTTTTCAAGCTTGTCACAGAACTGGTTTCAAGGCTATAAATTCCCTAAGCTCTTGCCTGTCCATGATGCTCTGTATGGTTCCTTCTAATCTGAATGATAATCTAGCTGGGTAGAGTACTCTTGGGGAAGTTTTCATTTCAGTTAGTTTTTGTACTACATCCCTCCATTCTCTCTGGCTCATAGAGACTGATTTGAAAAATCTGTTGTACTTCTTATAGGTTTTCCTATGTATGGAACTTGCTTTTTTATCTTGCTGATTTCAATATTTTGTCTCTATCATCAGAATTTATCATTCAGTATAATGTGTCTTGTACTTTTCCTGGTTGAGTATGGTCATCTGGGAACCCTGGATCTTATTGCCTGTATTCTTCAACTCTGGGAAATTCTCATCGATGATTTTTTTAAAGTATTTTTCTTCACGAAATTTGCTTTCAGGGACATTGGTGATTCTTATATTGTTCCTCTCAAACTCCTCCTATATTTCCCTGGTATGGCTTATTTCTTTTTTTACTAGTTTCAACCTAGAATTTTCATCCTCCACATCTTGGAACTTCTTCATCTTTTACTAGCTGCAGTTATTCTGCTGTTCAAAGCTCCCATTGCTGTTCAGAGTTTCTATATATTAACTTACCATGATCTTCATTTCTGCCATTTCTTCTGATTGCAGTAGTCTTCTCATTTCAAGTCTTTCTTATGCTTTGTTGATTATGTTTGCCATCATTTCTTTGAGCTTATTAAACAACTTCATCATGTGTCACTAAAGTTACTGTCTGAGGATTTCCTGAGCTGGTTGGTCATGTTTGTGCCTGCCCTCGGTGATATTGTTTTCACTCGGTGAACTTGGTGGGTGTGGAGGCTACTGGGACCTAGGCAGAAAGGAAGGTTCTGCCTCCCTTTCCAGAGTAGGTCCAAGAATATAAGCAAAAGACTGGTCTCACCTGGAATGGTAGCAATGCCAGTAGAAGTTCAGAAATGGTCCCTAGCAATTTTTCTATTCTTTTATAACTGAGCATTATTTTCACAGAAGAATGTTGACCCTTGTCATTTGATTTCTTTATGTCTACTGAAAAAATATTGCATGATTCTTATTTTTCTGTTACTGTGATATAGTATGTTTCTACACTTTCATATATCTAACAGTCCTTGGAATCCAAAATCAGACTGACAAGTCATGATATATGATGGTAACAGTGTACTCTATTGAATTGGTTTTGCTAAATTACATTGAGGATTTTTAGACAACAAGTCTCATAAAGGAGATGTTACTGGGCCCGCTTGAGCAACTCGATGAACAATGGGAGGACAGTGCTACAACACTCACACTTAGTGATGTATATATATATATATATATATATATAATATTGGTCTATAATATTATCTTTATATTTTATTCTTGTCTCCTTTTGGTATTAGGTAGTGCTTTACTCAGAAATTGTGCATGAAAGCTCATTATTTTCTTCCTTATATTAGTAGAATTTCAGAGGGTAAAGAATATTTTTGAATGTTATATAGAGCTCACCAATGAAAGTTCTGGCCATGAAATTTTCCTTGGAATGGAATTTTTACTTTCATTTTTGATCTGCACCTAAAATGTTCAGGGCTTCCTCCTGACTATGTGCTGAAGCATCACTCCTGACTGTACTCAGGCACCATATGCAGAGTCAGGGTCAAACCAGGTTCAGTTGTTTAGAAAGTAAATGGTCTCACTTCTGGCCTTCCAGACTTGTTTGAAATTCCGTCTCAAATTCCTTATTTATCTTTGTTTCCCTGGTTATTGAATCAACTCTTCAAACTTATTGCTGAAGCCATGCTACAATTTTTTCATGTATATTCCTCTCTGTATTTGTGGTTTTATGTCTTATGTCTAAGTTTTTAGTTATATTTTCAGCTAATTTTTGTGCATGGTATGTGAATCAGTCATTTCACGTTTTTATAAATGGATACTCAGTTTCCATTTAACACCCCTGGAAAACTACCTTCAGTAAGGGACCAAACAGAGAGCGCCCCCAGCCCAACTACAGTTATGTTAGTATTATCTACTGATATCATTCCAGCACATTCAAGGTAGAGGATCACCCTCATTGGAAAACAGTGAGGGGCCTAGAGCCATAGTACAGCCTCTAGGGCACCAGCCTAGCACGTGGCAAACTGAGTCATGATATATGATATGATCCGTGGCATGCCATATCTCTCCCAACGCACTGTCAGGCGTTATTTATTCCTGAGAGAAGAAGCAGGAGTAACCCTGGAGCATTGCCAGGTTTGACCCAGAAGGCAAAACAACAAACAATTGACATCTGCCTGGTATGCTTTGATGGTGGAAAAGTCATCAAAGAGAGGTGAAAAGATAGGGTCTCCTACACTCAAGACTGATGACAAGGGCAGAGATAAGAAAGATTGATTGGTACCATGCCCAGGCCATGGTGTGAGTGCAGAGAAAGATAGGTGAAGACACAAGAGTAGAATTTAGACCTTCAACCTTGATCAGTTGAGGCTATTAATCATATCTCAAAGGAGTACTGGGAACTGAATTTTTTTTGTTAGTTTACTGAGGACATAAGTTGACATGAAAAGACCATTCTGTCTCAAAAAAAAAAAGGGCCACCAATTTCTAAAATTCATTTTATTCCCACAAGTACAGGGAAGGGACATAGTTAAATCAAGACTTAGAGGGCTGGGGCTGGAGCAGTAGCACAGCGAGTAGGACATTAATTTGCCTTGCACGTGGCAGACCCAGGTTCGATTCCCAGCATGCCATATGATCCTCCGAGCACCACCAGGAGTAATTCCTGAGTGCATGAGCCAGGAGTAACCGCTGTGTATCGCCGAGTGTGACCCAAATTGCAAAAAAAAAAAAAAAAAAAAAAAAGACTTAGAGGGCTGGTTAACTATTTAGAAATGAACTTCTGTATATGAAGTCCAGTGAGGGGTTTATATTAACATACAAGCAAAGTTATGTATGAAGGCTGCCTTGAACTTTGGTGGAATAACAGAGTGGACACTTTCCGGCTGTCTCTTTCCTTAATCCTATGTGGAATCGAGGAATTATGTTGACCCCTTGAACAAGCTTCTGAACCCCATACAAATAATTGATTTTACAACACAGAATTTTTTTATTTTAATGTAGGAGTATTGCTATTTATTCAGCCATTGATTAGGCTATTGAATTTTTCATGAACTCCACCTTACTTTTTTTTTATAAATTTATTTATTGAATCACCGTGAGAGCAGTTACAAAGCTTTCCGGTTTAAGTCTCGGTCATACAATGATGAAACACCCGTCCCTTCACCAGTGCCCATTCTCCACCACCAAATCCCCAGTATACCCCCATCCCATACCTTCCCCCTACCTGTAGGGCAGATGGTTTCCACATTACTCTCTCTCTCTCTCTACTTTGATTACATTCAATATTTCAACACCAGACCCACCATTATTATTTGGGATTTTACCCCAACACTCAGATCTGCCGAGAAGTCAACCATAGACTATTTGTTTTCTATTGCTGGTTATGAATAACATATGATGTTATGAATAACACATGACATTATGAATATGATTTTGGAATTCTGAAATTTTAACAATTAAATCTTGAGGGATTTCTACCAAAACCTGCTGGGTTCTGAGATTTGTTCCTGAATCTCTGGGGTCATGGCCATTAAGCAGCTTGATCAGGAGCCAGAAAGACCATTTGTGGGCGGCGACTAGGAGTCTCTTTGGGGTGGGGAGGAAAGGGCCGGCTCCACACCCATCTCGTGAGGCCCTGCATGTCTCATCACTGTGGGCCCAAACCTGACTGTCCAATGGCCACTAGAGCATGGCGGCCACTAAGCCGCCAAAAAGCAGCAGGCGACAGGACACCACCCTTCCCCCACTGGGGTGGCCCAGTCCCGGTAACCTACTCAGGGACCAGACACATTTCTGCCAAAAACCGCTGGGTTCTGAGATTAGTCTCTGGGATGATGGCCATTAAGCAGTTTGATCAGGAAGCAGAGAGACCTAGCCTCCAATTATATAGCTGAGCTGGAGGTGGTTTGTCGGTGTGTCTCCCACATACCTAACTTTTGGCCATTTACTTTCTTGGTAAACTTGGCCCCAAGTGTTAGGGTCCAGCCAAAGGCACAGCAGCAATTTTGGGGTATCTAGAAGTCTGAAAGCACAATCAGGCTGCTCATGCACTTGCTTTCCAGGTACAGATTGACCTGCTGGCGGCACCATACCCCAGACAACACTTCACAGAAGTTATGTGAAGCATCTTACTAGTTTTGCAGATTGCCATGGAGATCAACTGTGTTACTGGACTGATTATTCTTTCTCTCAGCCTGTAAGGGCTCAACAAATACTCAATGTCATTCTAATTGTCTGAAAGCCTATGATTTCTGTTAGATGTTGTGAAGAATTCTCCAACTGAATAAACTAAAACCCAATTTTTCTCACAGAAACAGCTCCAGGAAGTGGTGACAAAGCTGGAACAGAGAGAATTTAAATATATGCGGCAGAAGCTAGGCACAACTCGGCAAAAAAGTATTTTGGAGGTGAGATTTTGAAGCTTCTTGTGGTCAAACTATATGCCATCATCTTGTCTAGGAGTAAGTATTGCTTGGTGTAAGCACTATGAGGGTTTACTACTCAATAAATGGTCCAGATTGTTAAAAGTAAGGTAGACACTCAGACTTTTCCCAAGAGGCTGTGTGCATTCGCAGCAGTGGCCACATTTCCTCCCACCCGTGACCCTCCAGGTCTGTGACTGGGGCGGCAACTGTTTCCCTGCTCTCCTCAGTGCCCCAGCGGGCCTCTCAGGTCACATTCAGTGTCACTTGATCATTTGACTTCTCGTTAATCATCGATTTGTTCGAGCAGGCGCCCGTAATGTCTCCATTTGTCCCTGTCGCGTGCTAGTGTAGCCCAATGGCGTCTGTTCGTTCTAGGAACACAAAGAGCCTCAAACTAATCGTTCATGGTCTTGAGGAAGAAGTCTGACCATCTGGTAGGTGGGCAGTCACGCGGTCTTTTGACATCCCGTGGAATCCAGTCGGTAACAGCTCTAGTCCAGCGGTCGTCTCTAAATCTCATTACATGACCAGCCCATCTGATTTTTGACGCCTTGGCAACGAGACAGCATCCCTGATTCTTGATCGTCAATGGAGGTCGAAACTCTGGATTCTTTCTCTCATTTGAGTGAAATGTGATACTCCAAGCATAGCTGTTTCAATTCCTCTTTGGGAGACCCGAATAACATTCTCATCCTGTTTGCATAGGGCCCAGGTCTCTGAGGTGTATGTTAATGCAAGAAGAACAGTGGAATCAAAGAGATGTTCCTGGAGCCAGAGGTTCTTCGTTCTCTTAGCTATTTCTTCGATGCTCTTGAAGGCGTTCCAAGCCGCTCTCTTCCTCCTGTGCAGCTCGGGTGCCAGGTCATTTGTCATGTTGACCTCTCGACCTAGGTACACATAGCTGTTGCATTCGGAGATGGTCGTTCCGTTGAGAGCGAATGGGGCGTCAGGAACAAGGCTGTTTCTCATAAACATTGTCTTCATAAGATTCAGCTGTAGTCCGACCTTTCCACACTCACGGTCGAAGTCGGCCAGCATTTGTGCCACTTGGCTAATGTTTGGTGTTATTAAAACAATATCGTCAGCAAAGCGGAGGTGGTGTAGTTGTCAACCATCTATCTTCACTCCCATTCCTTCCCATTCCAGTCATCGCATGATGTTCTCAAAGGTGGCACTGAAGAGTGTGGCCTGCATATTTAAAGGGTTGTTTTCAAGGAGCAGTTCTTAATTTTGATAAAGTCCATTTTACGATTGTATACCTATGTGTTATGTCCTTTGTGAAAGGACATATAGACACCCTGAATAAACATGAAAGGAAGCGGGGGGGGGGGGGGGGAAGTAATGTAGAAAGCACCATTTCTTTTTTGGCTTTAGTTACATGTATTTATTAATTTTTGCTGCAAACACTCAACCTTGTGATAGAAATTATTTAGGATTCCCAATATCTGAATTGGAGAAGTAGAAATATTACAGCAGACCTAGGAATTTCCTTGACAGGATTCAAATTCTCAGACTTTGAAGGTATCTTCCCTTATGAAGCCTCGACTGCATTATTTTGATGCACTTTCCACAGTGCAGCACCTGACACTCAAGTTTTTCAGTCTCAGAGACCAACTATTTGTGGACAGTTAGAAAGAGATTCATTCTTAGAAAGAGATTCATCCAGAAGAGTTGTTTAACTTAATGAGACTGTTAATATAGAGGACCAGTACTACTACGAGAACATACAAAAGACAAGTACAGAATTTGGTCTCTAGTTCAGTGATTAACCAGATTCCCTATGCATGGAAACATAATTTTCTATGGATATATTGATATAGTGTATAAGTCTAAAATATTGTCACACAGGCCATCTTTACAGCATACAGCCAAAGAGAAGGGCCACATGGAGGGCAGGGATCCACAGCTCCCGAAGGGAAAAAAAAAAAAAAAAACAGGTTCCAAAAAGAGCCTAGGTCATCGGGAAGTCCCAGATGGGGTAGGTACTGCATCCCGCCTCCCTCAGATGGAACCCCAGTGACCAGAAGCCTCTACAAGCACAGCTCGAGTATGCGGGAACTAGGACTTTTCCTCAAATCTGCCGGAATTACAACTCCCAGGTAACCTCTGATTCCGGAAGTCACGCCCACAGCCCGCCCCCCAGCGCCATCTTTACAGCATACAGCCAAAGAGAAGGGCCACATGGAGGGCGGGGATCCACAGCTCCCGAAGGGAAAAAAAAAAAACAGGTTCCAAAAAGAGCCAAGATCATCGGGAAGTCCCAGATGGGGTAGGTACCGCATTCCGCCTCCCCCAGATGGAACCCCGGTGACCAGAAGCCTCTACAAGCACAGCTCGAGTATGCGGGAACTAGGACTTTTCCTCAAATCTGCCGGGACTAGAGCTGCCAGGTAACCTCTGATTCTGGAAGTCACGCCCACAGCCCGCCCCCCAGCGCCATCTTTACAGCATACAGCCGGAAGAGAAGGGCCACATGGAGGGCGGGACCCACAGCTCCCGGAGAAAAAGAAAAAAACAGGTTCCAAAAAGAGCCTAGGTCATCGGGAAGTCCCAGATGGGGTAGGTACCGCATCCCGCCTCCCTCAGATGGAACCCCAGTGACCAGAAGCCTCTACAAGCACAGCTCGAGTATGCGGGAACTAGGACTTTTCCTCAAATCTGCCGGGACTAGAGCTGCCAGGTAACCTCTGATTCTGGAAGTCACGCCCACAGCCCGCCCCCCAGCGCCATCTTTACAGCATACAGCCAAAGAGAAGGGCCACATGGAGGGCGGGGATCCACAGCTCCCGAAGGGAAAAAAAAAAAAAACAGGTTCCAAAAAGAGCCGAGATCATCGGGAAGTCCCAGATGGGGTAGGTACCGCATTCCGCCTCCCCCAGATGGAACCCCGGTGACCAGAAGCCTCTACAAGCACAGCTCGAGTATGCGGGAACTAGGACTTTTCCTCAAATCTGCCGGGACTAGAGCTGCCAGGTAACCTCTGATTCTGGAAGTCACGCCCACAGCCCGCCCCCCAGCGCCATCTTTACAGCATACAGCCAAAGAGAAGGGCCACATGGAGGGCGGGGATCCACAGCTCCCGAAGGGGAAAAAAAAAAACAGGTTCCAAAAAGAGCCGAGATCATCGGGAAGTCCCAGATGGGGTAGGTACCGCATTCCGCCTCCCCCAGATGGAACCCCGGTGACCAGAAGCCTCTACAAGCACAGCTCGAGTATGCGGGAACTAGGACTTTTCCTCCAAGCGGCCGCGCGACATCTCTCTATATACAAAGTGATCCATGGGAAGTAAACCACCCAACGTTTCTCCCTGAAAATCAGAGTTAAGTTTGGAGCATGGCCACAGCCCCAGAAACACAAGGACTTAATGCATAACCCAACAGCTTGGAGCAGAAAAGTGAACGGACTATGCGTTAATCCAGGCCATCACGTCTGCCCGGAGGGGAAAGGGTGTTGCCCCATTCGCCCTCTCTTCTCTGGAAAGAAGGATGGTGGCCGTATGGGAGCCTTGTGGACAGCAGGTATGAGCCAGCGGTGTGGGGGCAACTAAAACCTCATGGGAAGGGGGGCGTTCCAGTCCATCCTTCATGCCCTACGGAGGTCACGAGTTGCCCCCCACGAGCGGCTCTCCAGCACGGCCACAGCCCCAGAAGCACAAGGACTTAATGCAGAACCCAGCAGTTTGGAGCAGAAAAGTGAACGGACTATGCATTAATCCAGGCCATCATGTCTACCCAGAGGGGAAAGGGTGTTGCCCCATTCACGCTCTCTTCTCTGGAAAGAAAGATGGCGGCCGCATGGGAGCCTTGTGGACAACAGGTATGAGCTGGGGGTGTGGGGGCAACTAAAACCTCATGTGAAGGGGGGCGTTCCAGTCCGTCCTTCACGCCCTACCAAGGTCACCAGTTGCCCGCCGCGAGAGGCTCTCCAGCACAGCCACGGCCCCAGAAGCACAAGGACTTAATGCAGAACCCAGCAGCTTGGAGCAGAAAAGTGAATGGACTATGTGTTAATCCAGGCCATCATGTCTGCCCAGAGGGGAAAGGGTGTTGCCCCATTCGCCCTCTCTTCTCTGGAAAGAAAGATGGCGGCCGCATGGGAGCCTTGTGGACAGCAGGCATGAGCCAGGGGTGTGGGGGCAACTAAAACCTCATGGGAAGGGGGGCGTTCCGGTCCGTCCTTCACGCCCTACCGAGGTCACCAGTTGCCCCCCACGAGTGGCTCTCCAGCACGGCCACAGCCCCAGAAGCACAAGGACTTAATGCAGAACCCAGCAGCTTGGAGCAGAAAAGTGAACGGACTATGCGTTGATCCAGGCCATCAAGTCTGCCAGAGGGGAAAGGGTGTTGCCCCATTCGCCCTCTCTTCTCTGGAAAGAAGAATGGTGGCCGCATGGGAGCCTTGTGGACAGCAGGTATGAGCTGGGGGTGTGGGGGCGACTAAAACCTCATGAGAAGGGGGGCGTTCCGGTCCGTCCTTCACACCCTACCGAGGCCACCAGTTGCCCCCCACTAGTGGCTCTCCAGCACGGCCACGACTCCAGAGCACAGAAACCAATTTCTTAACTATCTGACTTTCAGTAGAAATACTTCCAGTGTCAATAAGTAAAATAGCAGAAATCCAAAACCAACATTTAATTCTTGAACCCAGCTGTAGAAAGCAAATCACTTCACAATGCTTTTTCAGCATGTCTGATTGGGGGGGAGGGGGGGGTAAATTCTAAATAATAGTGGTGAATCTTTTATTGAAACAATGAATCTAATCAAAGCAGATAGAGTGTTAACTAGAATTCATCTGCCTCACAGGGACTGGGAGGGGTGGGGGGTGGGGTTTTATTCGGGTTCTTCATGGTAAAAAATAAGTATTGGTAAAGGGAAATGTGTTTGATATTTGCATGACTGAGACCTAAACCTGAAAGCTTTGTAACCTTTCCCACAGTGATTCAATAAATAAATTAATTAATTAATTAAAAATATATATATTGTCACACAGACCAGTGAGCCATTTTTGTGTCTTTCCAGTGTCTTAAACCTCAGACTTCATACTTTATGTGCAAATCTCCAATATGATTTCTCCAAAAAAAAAAAAGTCTTTTGCTCTCATTTCTGGCATCTTGAGTGCTGGGAAGACCTTCACAATTCAAAAAGAACTTTCATGAATACGTAGATTGAAGCTATGCTTGTCTCCCACTTAAAAATAATAAGTTACTCTTTTATTAATTTCAGAGACATTGGAAGACTTTCTGAAATAAGAAAGCTAAAATGGAAATTAAAATTCTAGTCCCCACCCCCACCAAATAAAACCTGTGTCCTACAGAACAGATTGTTCGTTTTAGTCATAACCACACATTCAGGTGGTTAATTGAACCCGGGGCTGGTATTTCTAGTATTTATGATCAGAATCTGCCAACTGGGCCTCTCCCTGGTGAGCCTCATGAACTTGCAAGAGTCGTCATCTTTGCTCCAGTTGTGATGTCTCAGTTACAAACTTTAATAAGGTTGAAGAAGAAACTTCAGGGGTTTCTTGAACCGAAAGTTTATCTGTAACACAGGAACACATCTTTTTATTATTATTATTATTATTATTATTATTATTATTATTATTATTATTTTAATCCCCATAAGATACAGTTGCAAAGTTTTCCTGTTTGAGTTTCAGTCACACAATGATCGATCGACCAACCCGACCAACCCTCCACCAGTGCACATCTTCCGCCACCAATATCCCCAGTATCGCCCGCATCCCCCCGTCCCCCTGCTCTATGGCAGACAATCTTCCCTAGCTCTCTTTTGTACTGCTTGTTATGAATAGCATAAGATGTTGTGTGGCCACTCTTGCAGCTGTATGCTCCTGAAATTGTAAAATTTCTGATAATTAGGATCTGGAGAAATCTCGGCAGTCAGCTGTTCAGTTCAGAGATTCTTTTGTGTGTCTCTTGAGGCCTGGAGTTTGCTGTCACTGAACCGCCATACCTACAATTCTCATTGGGTTCTGAAAGCTGGCGGCTGCCGGGATTTTTTGGGGGGACAGAAAGACGCCTGTCCACGTCTGAGGAACCCCGGTGAAGTTGGCCTGGCTTAAAGCCCAGAGGCATCTCTGCAGTGCGGCTGCTTGGTTCAGAGATTCTTTGGTGTGTCTCTGGATAAAAGCCATTAAGGAGATCAAGTAACAGCAGGAGGCAGTTTATGGGAATGACCATGGGGGCGCGGGCAGGAGTTGGGGGGTGGATGAAAAGGACCAATGCTTCCCCTATCCCTTGAGGCCTGGAAGGAACACGTCTTTATATCAAAATAAAATAAAAATTTATATTTGTTTTTATAACTCATATTTTATTTTCTTTGGCCAAGCTCTATTCTGCATTTTATTCATACTCCTTACACCAGCTTCTGGGTGAAGCAGAAGGAATTTATCCAGATAACTGTGTATAATTGTGAAGACTTCTACCTTTGAATATCTGCCTCTTGGGCATAACTCTAGTGTAGGAAATATGGAAAACTCTGCAGGCTATGTCACACTGAGGAACCGTGTGTGTGTGTGTGTGTGTGTGTGTGTGTGTAAGCATAACATAAAAGTCACCATTCTTATTCTTTTGAGTGGACAGCTCCGTGGCAGTTAAGTTTGTACGTTTGTACGTACTCTTTTTTTTTTTTTTTTTTTGCTTTTTGGGTCACATACAGCGATGCACAGGTGCTACTCCTGACTCTGCACTCAGGAATTACTCCTGGTGGTGCTCGGGGGACCATATGAGATGCTGGGAATCAAACCCGGGTCGTCCACGTCCAAGGCCTGCGTCCTACCCGCTGCGCTATAGCTCCAGTCCCAAGTTTGGACATACTCTTGTGCAGCCATTGCCTCTATCCACCTGCAAAACTCATTCATCCACCAAACTGAAACTCTATTCCTAGTCCTCAAGATTCTTACTCCTATTTTCTGGTATTCACTGTCTCTATGAATATGACTTACCTCATAGAAGTAGAGTTCTATAATATTGTTCCTCTGTTTCTGACTTGCTTTGCTCAATACCTAGCTGACTCATCCATGTTGCACAATGCATCAAATGTTCCTTCCTTACTACTACTGAGGATATTTCATTTATTTCTGTGTGACTCGTATGGTCTATGGATGTATTACCATGAATATTTAGTCTGTATTCACTTTCTGAGCACTTTTCTTCCTTATAGGAGAAAATCAAGCATGAGAAAGAAAGAATCCACTTAGAATTTATGAATCTTCACACATTCCTGCATCAGGAGGAGGAGACATATATGTGTCAACTGGAGAAAGAAAAAGAGCAGAAACTGAGCAGACTGCAGAACAAGGTAGCCCATCTGGACAACAAGCTACAGGAACTCAGGAACCGCATCCTGGAACTGCAACAGAAAAATCAGGGCTCAGCACAGTATTTCCTGCAGGTGAGTCCGAGCACTTGGAGGAAACAGAGGAGATGTCTTATTCCCATACTAGTCAGAGCAGAATGGTGAGCAATATGGAAGATTAACTGAGGCTTACTTCCTCAATTCAGACTCCTTCTCCCTTTTACTCACCTTGTTCAGCATGAGACCTTTTAGTTGTAGCTGAGATGCATGAAGTGTTGGATTTCACCTTTTCTTATTATATGTGTACAACAGTTCTTTATCCACTATGTGTTCTTGTGTATTTGGGATGATTCTAGATCTTAGCTATTGTGATTGACTCTTAGCTATTGTGATTGACACTATTAACAAACACAGAAAACAAAATATATTGTAAAATTAATATAGTTGTGCTCTTTGGAATCATCCCCAGAACTGGAAACTCTACATTTTATGGAAGTTCAGTTCTTCATTGTGGGAGGTCTCCTCTACAATTGTGAGTCTGTATCCCATTGTAATTTCAAAGCAATCAAGCACTGTGTATTACAAAAGATGCTATTGTTTCTCACAACTACCCCCCACCCCTGTTATGTCTTTAATGGGTTTCTTTGCCTGCTAAAGGAATCCTGTCAGTGTTTCTAATAAATTTGGTTTAATAGTCAGGAACTTCTTTAGCTTTGCTTTCTTTACAGTTTTGTTTCATTCCTTCAAGTTTGACTGATGACTTAGGTGGACTGAGTATTCTTACAGGGTATTGGTTTCACCCAACTTGTTTGCTGTTTGCTGTGTCAAACTATACTTTGCTAACCTAGATCATTTCATTTCTATAGCGGTTTCTTTATATATATGTTTCATTTCTATTATGGTGCTCTCCAGATTCTATTTCTACCTCTTCGGCTTTTGTCATTCTACAGTGTGTCTTAGAGTTCTTTTCTCTAGCTTAGTTTTATTTTCTAGGAGATGCAAGCAAGTAGTGACCAAGCAAGTAGAGAGGACAGAGTTGACCATAAGATTAAGAGCAGAGAAGAGATGAAGTAATAATGGGGAAAATAGCCCAGTAGGAGCCAAATGGGGTGTTGATGAGTATATTGTATAGACTTTAAAAAGTTTTCCTGGTGAATGTGTCTAAAATCTGTACTGAGAGCATATCTTGAATTAAGTAAGTCTGTGAAGAAGTGCCTGTGATTATTGTCTAATGATTCAGTTGAGAAAATGGGATTCAGGCGACTTTACTGAGTTCACACAGCTTACAAGGTACAAGGGGCTACGATTCAAGTCTTTGATCTGGATTGGAATCATTCACAGCATTCCTTTAAAATGAACATATTTTCTATTTCCTGGAGTTAGAGGTGAAAGTGTCAAATGTGCCATGATATCATGTTGCTAATTTTGAATCATTTTAAAACATCTGTAAGAGTTAAGTTAATGTTAAATAATAAGTTCTCAGAATCTATTATGTAGAGTTATTTTCCTTACACAATGCAAAGTAGAGATTTCTTTTACTTGTTGTCCGGCACTCCCCACCTCTACCATTCTTTGGACGATATTCTTTGGAAAATCTTTGGAAGTTCTTTGAAAGTTCTTTGGAAGATATTTTCCAGCTCTGATACCGGTGGAATATCAGAGGGTTACATAAACCTGTCCAAATCCTTTGACTCAATAGCAGTCATGAGTTAGCTGTTCTTGACAAGGAACCACTCAGTTTCACTTTTCCGAGTCTGATAAGGCATCTCTCTCTCTCTCTCTCCCCTCTCTCTCTTTCTACCACTTTTTTCCTCTCTCTGCCTCTCTCCACCTCTCTCTGTCACTCTCTCTGTCTCTCTTTTTCTCTGTCTCTCTCCTGTTTTCTTATTTTTTAGCCAACTCAATGGTCCTCGGGGGACATTATTACTGCAATTCTCAGGGTCCTTAGAGGAACATATGGGGATTGAACATGGCCCTCCCCCATGCAAAGCATGACTCAGCCCTTTACAGTAACTCTCCTACCTGATCAATATTTCTCGCACATTTTTTATTTGGCTCTCTCTTTTCCTTTATTGCTTATGTTATACTTTTCTTCTCACTCAAGTTTAAGGTAAAACCACCACAAGTACCACAACCTTCCTGACTTTCAGGAAAACTCACTTGATCAATGAGCTTGGCTATAGCCAGTTATTCTTCACTATTGCACAGAACAGTAGACTAAGGGAAGACTACTAATTGGAAAATTTGCCACTAATCACTCTATGTTCTATTGGGCATAGCACTGTTATTTCTCTAGAGCTAAGATGCCTACGTAAATGTACTCAATATGTGATCACTTCTCTTATAATCTTGTAGTCTATGACTCTGTATCAGGAAAGTTCTCTGGAGCTCATGATAGGCTCAGTCTTTCTATTTTACAGATGTGGAAATGAAATCAGAGTTTTGTCATTTTCTAGGGTCTTGTAATTGTATCATAGAACATTGAAACCAGAGTTCATGCTCATCACCAGTTCCCAAAACTCAACTGCCACTCAAAAAACAATTCACAGGGAGCTAGAGGGATGGCACAGCAGGTAGGGTGTTTGCCTTGCACGCAGCCAACATGGCCGACACAGGTTCAATTCCCAGCATCCCATATGGTCCCTCGAGCACCGCCAGGAGCAATTCCTGAGTGCATGAGCCAGGAGTAACCCCTGAGTATCACCTGGTGTGACCCAAAAAGCAAAAAAAAAAAAAAATCCAATTCAGAGTAGGTATCTCATTGTCTTATTTCTGGTCATCTATATTGGTGAGGAGGATTTTTTAGACCTGCTTCACAGGAGTTGATCCTACAATGAGGAATTGAGTGAAGGCCATGAACTTAAAATGTGTCCCAGGGGAAGGCAGTGAGTGTGAAAGTAGATAAAGTACCAAACATGATAACCTCTCAGGGTCTGTATTGCAAACCATAATGCCCAAAAGTAGAAAGAGATTATGGGGAATCATGTCTGCCATGGAGGCAGAGGGAGGATGGGAAAAGGGGGTTATACCGGGGATATTTATTGGTGGTGGGGAATGTGCACTGGTGGAGGAATGAGTGTCTGACCATTGTGTGATTGTAACCCAAACATGAAAGCTTATAACTATCCCACGGTGATTGAATAAAATTTAAAAAATAAATAAATGAAAAATAAATAAACTTATGATAGATGTGGGGCTGGAGCAATAGTACAGGGTAGGGCATTTGCCTTGCATGCAGCCAGCCCGGCCAGGCCGGGTTCGATTCCTCCACCCCTCTCAGAGAGCCTGGCAAGCTACCTAGAGTATCTTGGCCGCACAGCAAAGTCTGGCAAGCTACCCGTGATGTATTCGATATGCCAAACACAGTAGCAAGAAGTCTCAAAATGGAGACGTTACTGGGCCCGCTCAAGCAAAATCGATGAACAACAGGAGGGCAATGTTTGTGTTTGTATGATAGATGTGAAAGAAAAAAAAAAGAAGCAGGTGGGAAAAAAAGGAAGCGATCAAACCTATCTGTGATTCCAGACAATGTCTTGGAATCTCAGACTATATCTCAGTTTGATCTAATGGGGATCCCAAGAGAAAAAAATGATAATCCTAAGGATTCCCCACTCAGGGCTTGAATTTTTCAGTCCCTGTGTCAGTCAGTTAGGAGTTTCAAATCCCAGGAGGAGATACAAATTTCAATGTTGTGTCCAGTGGCTCAAGAGATATCTTTGGAAGGAAAATGCAGATATAATACATCAGAGGTAATGATGCCAAAACCAAAGCTGGTAGTGGGGATCTGATTCAATCATCAATAGAGAATAAGATCCTTGAGGCAGCATATATTGCTTCTTAAACTTTTATGTACTGACCTGGATCATCTGGGTCTTCTATGACCCTTTCTCTCCAGTGCTGAAGTTTGAATTCAGGACCCCCAATTTTCAGGCATGTTCTCTACCATGACCCATATCTCTGGCCCTGCTTAATCTTTATCACTTACATACATCCCTCTCCATATCTCTCTATGTCTGTCTCATTTGTTCTTCATGTCTTAGAATCTCTTCAAGGAAGCATTCTGTACTCTTCTTACTTAAAATAGATCTAATCTCCACTCAGGCCCATTTGACCTCTGGCCCATTTGATCTCTTAATTTTGATGTGTGGATTACTGCCTTTCTATTCATACATTTAATATCTCTGTCAAATAGATTGAAATTTTTAATTTTTATCTTTAGTCCTAGAATTTTTGACGCAGGAGTTTTTAATATCTATGTTTGCTGAATAGCAATGAATGGATGGGGGGAAATCATAAAATTTCTGTAGAGAAATAATTTGTTTTAAATTCTTTGAGCATAAGGATTGGGATGTGGGAGCCAGTCCCAAAATAGGAAAATTCTCAGCTATAATTTCTCTTCTTTTTTTTTCTCTTTGGTGAAGCAAGGTAGTTTTGCACTAAAACTTACTAGAAAGATGTGAGAGGAGAGAAAGAAGGTAAATATATTCAAGGGAAAATCTGGGCTTGATGAGCAAGTATTTCTATAATTTCTTGAGATGTTTCCATTCTCAGATTTCTTTTCCTCAAGGCCTCCTTTTTTGTTTGGGGGGCTACATTTGTCAGAGCTCAGGGTTTGCTTACTCCTGACTCTGCACTCAGGGATCACTCCTGAAGAGTTCAGAGGACATAATGGGGTGCCAGGGATCTATCCTAGGTGGTGGTGTGTGAAGCAAGTGTCCTACCCATGTATTATCCCTCTATCCTTCCAGGTCCATCAAGGACTCATTTAATTGGTTATTCTTGTTAAAATTATCCCACTGTTCTCTGATATCCCTTTCATAATTTTTATTCTTTCTTTCTTCTCTACTTTATGGGTGGGTTCCTGTGCCCTATTTTCCTGGACATTGATTTGTTCCTTGACATCTATCACGCATCTGCTGGAACCTTCTGATGAAATTTTAAGTTCACTGACTTCAATACACTTCCCACCTAGTCAAATACGTTATCTTGCTTTATTGGAGATCTTTGCTTTTGTTTCCCTTAATTCACTGAAGCTTTCAAGTTTTACTTTGAAAAAATTGTCACCATTTATAATTTGCAACTCACAGAAAATGAGCAGAAAAACTCCTGGTGGCTTGGGAAGTTTCCGAGCTTTTGTCATCACCGAGTAATTTGTGTGGGCTCTCAATCTTCTTAATTGTGTCACCATGTTGTGAGATTTAGGCGTGAGCTTCTGTTGTTGTTGTTATTGTTGTTGCTGCTGCTGCCTAGAATAGCAAGTCTAAGGTTGACTTATGTCCACCATTTCCACAGGAAACTTTTGAGGTGAAGTTTGTGTTGAACCAGCCTCTGCCAAGACCGTGCTGTCCTCAGAGGCAATGCCTCTTGTCCTTCACAATTTGCGGGCCTCCTCCTGGCACCGTTGCCTCAAGCCTTGAGCTTAGGCTCTTGTGCACCTCTAAGCCAGGCTTCCTTATTTCTTGTGTAAAATCTGCTCTGAGCCTGACTGATTCCTTGATTCAGATATACTGGGAAGGGGTAGGGGGACAGGAAGTGTGGGAATATGGTCATTGTTGCTTTGTGTAGACACAGTATACAGTGTCTACACTCCACTCAGCCCAGAATGTTGGTGGTGCCCCATCTGCCTGGGCCACAGCTGTGCGTCCCACTACAAATATTGACCTGAGACCCCCATCATGCCCAGACCCATCTCTCCTCTCAGCCTTGTGAAGAAATTAATTCATAAACATGTGGGAGAATGTTCTATCCCCTGTTTTGTTCCCCCTGGGCCTGACTGGTAAGTCCGCTTCATCCGCTTTCATCCTTGGGCCTCATCTCTTGAGCTCATTACCCTTTTGAAGCTCCTCACATGAAAACATGCCCAGAGCCATTTTCTGGTTGCTGTTCGGCACTTTCACTGTGGATCACACATACAATCTTTAGGTCATGTCTGTGTTTTATTAAATTTTGCACTTGTCTGATTCACAGGACCCCTTTCTCCTCCATCTTTCCTCCTGCGCTGCCTGGAGGTTGTCTAGCTTCATAACAGGAGGTTTTATTATAGTTGATTATTATAGTGCAACTATCCCATCACCATGTGATACTTGCTATCAATACCTACGCATCTCAGTCACAGAGATTCTGCATGGATTCAGAATTCAGACGGTTTATGAGAAAGTGTCCGTTATGGACTCAATATCAGGAAATCACATCATTGAAAGCAAGTGGTACCCTGGACATCTTTCTGACCCTTATGTCAAAAGCCATAAGTTGATGTGTTTTTAGACACCAGAGTTCGCCAAAGACTCCAGTAAGGAAGAGAGCAGACTGAGAGGTTGATAAAGAGGCAGTAATGTGCATCCCCATGGGACTCAGATGGGAATCATCCTATTAGAAATCCATCAGAGTCGACAAATAGGGGCTTGGTGGTGCTTCAACACAAACGAACTTGAACTTACACTATTCCTGAAACCTTGGTTCCATTCCCATCCTTCAGGTCCCTTATCTCACATCCCTGGAATGAATGTTTATAGAGAACTGCCACATATGCCATTCTCCAGGAAGTTCTTACGTTCCCATACTCACCTTTGCTTTTGTTTCTCTACAGGATATAAATGACACCTTGAGGAGGTGAGTACCCCATATCATTAGTGTGGGCATGGGAGGAACATGAGAATAGAGACATGGATGAAAGGAGACACTGAAGAAATCTCTGGTCTCTGCTTATTCTAGGAACTCAGCTATTGATAGGGAAACACCAGAGGCTGTTTCATTGGAGGTGCATACTGTGTGCAATGTCTCTGAGCTGTACTTCAGTGTGGGAAAAATTTTAAAGCGCTATCAAGGTATGTTGATTTAAGAATCCCTTGTTAATATTTTATGTAAGTTTCAGTGTAATGCAAGAAAGGTAGGTGATTATTATGAAATGGGGTGCTAGCAATGTAAGGACCTTGACCCAGTAAAACTTTTTACTCATCCCAAAGCTGTTTTCTCTTTCTATAATTCTCTTTAATCATTGCTTTCTAGTTTCTCTAATCTCTTATAACAGTCAAAAGTTATGGAAAGAGGAAGACTTTAAAAGAATGGGGAACTATTAAATCAAACCTAATCTAAGGACCAGAGAGAAATCTCACTTGGATGAGAACATGCCTTGTGTTCAGAATGTCCATGTTGTTTCAACACTGAAGGGAAAAGAGCCTGGCATCCTGGAGCCTTGCACTATCAGCTGGTCCCGTTTTTTTTTTTTTTTTTTTGGATCACTAGGACCCCTGCACCTACTTTGAGTTCCGTCCCTGAAATTCTGCCTTAGCACTGGTGTGCACTTTCGCGTGTATGATTTTCTTTTTATTCAGTTTTACAGAAGTTCATATTATGATTGAAAAACTCTTCTCCTTCTGAATATATAAAAATATATAAAAATTTAAATTATCTCTCTTTAAAATCCTCGTATTAGGGTTAAAGGAAGCAGCGCATGGGACTGGAGCGATAGCACAGCGGGTAGGGCGTTTGCCTTGCTCGCGGTCAACCCAGGTTCAATTCCCAGCATCCCATATGGTCCCCTGAACACCACCAGGGGTAGTTCCTGAGTGCAGAGCCAGGAGTAACCCCTGTGTATCACCAGGTGTGACCCAAAAAGGGAAAAAAAATCCCAGACTATCTTCAGGTCGGTTCCACTTGTCCTTCCTCATGGGAGACCTGTGTCTTAACAACTTGATTCTATGCTTTCTAGACTCTCCCATTTCAATGCTGGGATAGCTTCACTACTCACCCCAGGTCCTTCCCAGTCCCACATCAGGACTTCCCTTTCTGGGGTGTTAGGAACTGTGGCAACCAAACTCTGAGTCAAGTAATTATGAGGGATATATTTGAAGTCAATCAACTCACAAATATTAGGAGAACAGTATGAAAAGTCTTTCTGTGTTTAAGCAATGTAGATTGCTCTATCGTAAAATATGAAAAGGCTATAGGGGAAAAGGAAAAGCATGTCATTCATTATAAATACAAAGTCCGGAATTACCAGAAACTTTTGACTTAAAGGTAACCAATACTGGGGCTGGAGAGATAGCACAGCGGGTAGGGCATTTGCCTTGCATGCAGCCGACCCGGGTTCGATTCCCAGCATCCCATATGGTCCCCTGAGCACCACGAGGAGTAACTCCTGAGTACAGAGCCAGGAGTAACCCCTGTGCATCGCTGGGTGTGACCCAAAAAGCAAAAATAACAAAAAGTAACCAATACTGACATGAGGAACTGTGACAATGAGAGGTAAAACACAAAGAAAAGGTTAAAGATAAACTCAGGGAATTAGGGGTGCTCCTAAGAGCACTGTAAGCTTCTCTGCGGTAGGAAAAAGCACAATTCACTGAGGGAACCTAAAGCACTTAGGGTTAATCTCCAACACCCCCAGCCCACGAAGAGTGATCCCTAAAGCACAGAACCCGGAGTAAGCACTGAGAACTACTGAGTGGGGACTCCAAATAAAGACAAACAAAAAAAGTGAGTCTTTTGGAGTTGGGGAATAGTATAATAGGTAGAGCGCTTGCCTGACATACCAATGAATCCCCAGCATCCCAAATAGTACACTGCCAGGACTGATTCCTAAGCACAGAGACTGTATTAAACCCTGAGCACTGCCTGGTGTGGCCTCCCCTAGAAAGAAAGAGAAAGAAAGAAAGATAGAAAGAAAGAGAAAGAAAGATAGAAAGAAAGAAAAAAAGAAAGAAGGAAGGAAAGAAAGACAAGAATGAAAGAAAGAAAAAGAAAGAAAGAAAGAAAGAAAGAAAGAAAGAAAGAGAGAGAGAGAGAGAAAGAAAGAAAGAAAGAAAGAAAGAAAGAAAGAAAGAAAGAAAGAAAGGAGGGAGGGAGGGAGGGAGGGAGGGAGGGAGGGAGGGAGGGAGGGAGGGAAGGAAGAAAGAAAGAAAGAAAGAAAGAAAGAAAGAAAGAAAGAAAGACGGGAGGGAGGGAGGGAGGGAGGGAGGAGAAGAAAGAAAGAAAGAAAGAAAGAAAGAAAGAAAGAAAGAAAGAAAGAAAGAAAGAAAGACGGGAGGGAGGGAGGGAGGGAGGGAGGGAGGGAAGAAAGAAAGAAAGAAAGAAAGAAAGAAAGAAAGAAAGAAAGAAAGAAAGAAAGAAAGAAATTTAAAAAAAATAAATCAAGTCTTTTGTTCTTTTTTTTTTCCTCAGACAATGTGACTCTGGATCCAGATACTGCTACTCCAGATTTATGTCTGTCTAAGGATCAGAGAACAGTGACTAACAATGTAGGCACAAAGAAGTATCAAAATCCTGGAGGATTTTTTGTCTTACCCTGTATCCTGGGCTGTGAGCGCTTCATCTCAAGAAGACATTACTTTGAAGTGGATGTGCGAGAAGGAACTGAGTGGGGTGTAGGAGTTTGTCTGGAAAATGTACCAAGGGACATTGACACAGGACGAGAGCCTCAGTCTGGATTCTGGGCCATCAGACTGAGAAGAAACAAGAGAAATTTAGCCTTTACTTCTCCCCCAACTGCCATTCCTCTGGCGGACCAGCCTAAAGTTGTAGGGATTATGCTAGACTGTGAGGCTGGCCTTGTGTCCTTCTACAACGCCACTACTGGTTCCCACATCTTCACCTTCCCAAAGACCTCCTTCTCTCAGGCTCTCAGACCTTATTTTGAGGCTTATCCATTTTCTCCTTTGTCCCTGACTTCCTTAAATGAGTAAAAAAAAAAAAAAAGAAAAGAAAAAAGAAAAGAAAAGTCTCCTTCTAGTTAAACCAGCATAAGAAGTAGTTGGTAAATCCAGGTGGGAACAAAACTCGGATCTAAATTCTTCCTGGCTGTTTCCCCATACCTAGATATTTACCTAAAACATTTGTAATGCACGGCAGAGTCTGGCAAACTTCCGTGTCATATTCAATATGCCAAATACCAGTAACAATGATGGGTCTCATTCTACTAATCCTGAAAGAGCACTGAAATGGCTCTTTTAAAATCTCAGGGCTAGGAAGAAGGAGACGTTACTGGTGCCTGCTCGAGAAAATCGATGAACAAAAGGATGATTGTGATCGTGATTTGTAATGCAAAACACTGCACTCAAGTAACTTATATTCAAGCAGTACCACAAAAGATAATGACTGTGCACTATAGGCTGGAGCGATAGCACAGCGGTAGGGCGTTTGCCTTGCACGCAGCCAACATGGCCAACCCGAGTTCGATTCCTCCGCCCCTCTCGGAGAGCCCGGCAAGCTACCGAGAGTATCTCGCCCGCACAGCAGAGCCTGGCAAGCTCCCCGTGATGTATTCGATATGCCAAACACAATAACAACAAAGTCTCCAATGGAGACGTTACTGGGCCCGCTCGAGCAAATCGACGAATAACGGGAGGGCCTTTACAGTGGAAAAAAGCAAGATATTGTTATTGCATTGCTTATTTTTCAGAGTATGTCTCCTCTCCTTTCCTCTCCATGATTTCAGAGACTATTAAATTTAATTCAGAGATAATTTCATTTCCAAGACACCCGAGAGGCCAGTGAGCAGGATGACAGGAGCTCAGAAGGTTCCGGTTCTCTCTGCTTGTTTGCTACCATATGGACTCAGCGGCAGAGTAAGGGAAGCTTCCATTATATCAGCAAAAGCATGAAAAGGGCAGTGACTCTTGACCATCAACATCTCAGGGAATAATCTGAGCTGCATCCCTGAATGAGAGAGTAAGTGCAGACAGTCACCGACCTAGAGGGTCCTGCCCAGTGACGGGTGAGGGAAACATCACAACTGACTTAGAGTGAGTTGCTTCATGTAGAGAGAAAATTCAGAATGAAACTAATTTGGATGGTGCTTCACTAATGGAAAAGAAGTTGATATTTCCACACTGAGCTAGTAGCACCAATCCTGAATAATTTTAAATTTTCATAACTGTTCTTGCTGGCAGAATTGTTGAAAGTTTTTATTAGAACTCATATGCCAAACAAAGAGGCCTTAACTATTTTATTTTCAAAACAGCTCTATTTTTCACTATTGACATTACTGGGCCCGCTCGAGCAAATCGATGATCAACGGGAGGGCCTTTACCTTTACCTTTACCTTTTAAAAACTAAGTAGATTTAAAAACTAAGTAGATTTGGGTTTTTTGTTTGTTTGGTTGATTGGTTTTTTTTTTTTTTTTTGGCTTTTTTGGTCACACTCGGAGATTCACAGGGGTTACTCGTGGCTCTGCACTCAGGAATTGCTCCTGACGGTGCTCAGGGGACCATATGGGGTGCTGGGAATCGAACCCGGGTCTGTCACGTGCAAGGCAAACACCCTACCTGCTGTACTATCGCTCCAGCCCCAAAATAGATTTGTTTTCAAAAGCACATTCTGTAAAGTTTATTCAGACCAAATGGCACTGCTCAGGACCAAATAGCGATTAGCTGACAGAATAGCAACATTCCAGGAGTCAGAGACCACTCTGCCTCAGCATGGAAGTCAGGACTCTGGCCCACCTGGCCCCAGGTGCTCCCAGGCTCTTATCCCATGCTTCCTCACACGGACCCCAAGGGTGACAGAAGGCCAGACCAGACGCACCATTCCCACTGACCCCTGTTCCCTTTTCCCACCAAGACAAGATAAAATTCCACTTACCCTTCCCAGGGCACAACTCTACCCCAGTCTCACCGGGAGTGGTAGGAGCCACCTAAAAGCACAACCCAATAAACTTCCCTTATTTCTCCAATTCCCTTCTCTCTGTCCCTCCTTTTGTGCCTTGTGAGGTCTCCGACCTATCCCCTTCCATGTCAGACTTTCTTTTTGATCCTGCCTGAGTTGACTGATGAGAGCATCTGGTCAAGTGAGTGAAAGCAGGAACAACTATGATTAGAGAATGTCACAAAGTCATAGCCTTAGGAAACTGTAGTTGATATAAGATTGGACATTTCTGACTCATAAGTCCTCTGAGCTTATCTATCTGGGATAAGGGGGAATGAAATAAAGAGTTGCTTTAGGCTGTGGGTACATGAAGACAGAATGTCAGATACCCCACAGAGCCAGAGTCCCTGGCAAGCTGATGGAGACTGGGTTGGATCAGTGACTGAAGGGTAACAGAGCACGCCACCCTCCGGAAGCTGCTTTGGCATAAGAAATAGTTTGAGCTAAAGGTATTTGACAAAATACAGACACAGTAAGAAAGAAATATAATAAGTGAATACCAAATGGTCAAAGTCATCAGAAGTCAAAATTTTGTCAACAGAACTGAGCTAGAAATATATGAATATGTGTAGAAATATATGAATTTTGCCCCCATCACTCTCAACCACAAGGGCAGAACTTAATTACCAGAGAGGACGCAACAGCTCCTATGCTGACAAAGATCACTAGAGGGATTTCCATAGCAAGTATTTACTGAACAAATCCTTAGCAGAACCCTGACCATTGCTTTACTAGAAAAAGTAAAATGAAATCATTTTGGAAAAAAAAAATTTTATACTTATCATTGATTTACAATTCTGCGAAATTTCTGGAGTTTAGTTTCAATCATCGATATGTGTGTAGATGTCACCACTTCCACAGTTAATTTTTTAAAAGATCTCTCAAAAATCCAACTATGACTAACTTTGTAACTCATGTTATTTTAATAAAATAAAATTTGCAGAAAAAAACAAATAAAATAAGATCTGTCTCATATGTGGATTATAAACAAATATAGTAAGAAAACAAACATGATCAAAGTGGGCACTGAAGTGATAGTCCAGTGGGGAAGGCATCTGTCTTGCAAGTAGCCAAGCTGGGTTCCATCCTCATATCCCATATGGTACCCCGAGCATCTCCAAGAGCAATTTCTGAGTGCAGAGCCAGGAGTAACCCCTGAGCATTTCCAGGTGTCACCTCAAAACCCAAAAATGAAAAATGATCATAGTAACTGAAACTTTAGGTTTTGTTAATAGAGCTGAGTTTACATGGGGTTGGGGGCTGCTGGAAGGGGACCATTGGGACATTGCAGATATCAGTTGGGACATTATTTCACACAGGCTGTGGGGGAGGGGGGAATTAAACAGAGGAGATGTGGAGCTGGGCCTGTTGAAGTGGTGGAGACTGGGTTGGAGGCTCTCTGCTAATACATTTTAAATTAACATGTAATAGATCAATCCTACACAAACATAATTTAATAACTATCAGCTGGAGCAATAGCACAGCGGGTAGGACATTTGTCTTGCACACAACCGACCCGGGTTTGATTCCTCCATCCTTCTCGGAGAGCCCAGCAAGCTACCGAGAGTATCCCGCCCACACATCAGAGCCTGGCAAGCTCCCTGTGGCGTCTTTGATATGCACATGAACAACTGAACAACTTTGTAAACCACGGTGTTTAAATAAAGTGGGGAAAATCTTTTTTAAATAAAACCTCTTCTTAGGGCTACAGAGCTAGTACAGCAGGTTGAGCGTTTGCCTTATACATGGTCATCAAGGTTTGATCTCCAGCATTCCATATCGCCCACAAAGCACCAACAGGAGTGGTCTCCTGGGTACTGCCAGTTGTGGCCCAAAAAAAACAGTAAATAAATACATAAATGAAATTAACCAAACCAATAAGTGACCTTGCAGGCAAGCCTGCTACTTGGAGTGCTCCAGTTCGCCATCTGGTGGCTTTTTCCCAGCACAGCTTTTTCTCTTTAAAAAAGAGAAAAAGTCTCTTTAATTCATTGTGACTCAATATATGTTTATTTTTAAAGCTAAGATGTTAAATAAAGTTCCGAATATTATAATACAAAAAATAAAATTGAATTAGACTCCTAGAAACAACAGATTTGTAAAGTAGCAGGTTACAAAATCAATATATAAAAATACTCGGCTTTCCTATATACAAATAATGAAAGAGAAGAAAGATAGCTAAAAAAAATCCTGTCCACAACTGTTCCTCAGAAAATCAAGTCCCTCAGAATCAGCTGAACTAAAGAATTGAAATACTTTTGCAAAGAAACCTAGAAAACACTTCCTCAAGAAATAAAAGTTGACATGAGGAAATAGAGACACGTCCCCTGCTCATGGAGTGGGAGAATTCACTGTATCACTGTATCACTGTTCATTGATTTGCTCAAGCAGGCACCAGTAACATCTCCATTCATCCCTGAGATTTTAGTAGCCCTGAGATTTTTTTTTTCTTTTTGGGTCTCACCGGGCGATGCTCAGGGGTTACTCCTGGCTTTGCACTCAGGAATCACTCCTGAAGGTGCTCGGGGGACCATATGGGATGCTGGGAATCGAACCCGGGTTGGCCGCGTGCAAGGCAAACGCCCTACCCGCTGTGCTATTGTTCCAGCTCCAGCCCTGAAATTTTAGTAGCCTCTCCTTACTCATCCTTCCCAAACATATTGGAGGCTCTTTCAGGGTCAGGAAAATGAGACCTGTTATTGTTACTGTTTTTGGCATGTCGAATACGTCACGGATAGCTTGCAGGGCTCTCTGAGAGGGATGGTGGCTATTCCCTGTATCTTGGCCATTTATGAGATTACTTGGCACCAGAGGGGCAGTTTGTGGGTGTGACTACCAATCTACTGGAAAACTGAGTGTCTGGGTGGAGGAGGCCCAGTCCCCATCTGAGCAGGCTTGGAGATCTTAGCCCCAGGTCCCGCGTACCTGGGTTCCTCTGCTGATTCCTTCATGCATGAGGCTCGTCTGAGTGTGTGGAGAGTGGCCCCGAGTATGGCTGTGGCTGGGTTCTGAAGGATTTCAGCTGCCGGGGTTCTGCTTGGGGCAGGGAGGGAGACTCAACACGCCACCCTCCGAGAAGGCCTGCTGAAGAAGCAGGTAAGACCACTCCACAGGACCCACACGCCACCAAGTTTGGTGTCCAACACACCATATAATGCCCTGAGCCCACCAGGAATGATCCCTAAGTACAGAGCCATACAGATAAAGAACTCACAAAGGTCAACGACAACAAATAATGATCCCATCAAAAATGGGGAGAGAAGATAAACAAACATTTCCCTCAGTGCTGGTCAGTCAGCACACTTTAAAAAAGGTGTTTGTTGTCACCTTTGATCAAGACCTTTTATCAAAACGCAAATCAAAACAACAATACAATACCATCTCCCACCAATGAGAGTGTCATATCAAAAAGACTGGAGTGGGGAGGGAACACTTGGTGGGCTGTGGTGACAGAGGAATCTGCATTCACTGTTGGTGAGAGTGTTCTCTGGCTCAGGCACTAGGGAAACACCTGTAGCACTGCACTGTCCTACCGTTGTTCATCGAGTTTGCTCTAGCGGGCCTAGTAACGTCTCCATTGTGAGACTTGTTACTGTGCATATTGAATACGCCACGGGGAGATTGCCAATCTCTGCTGTGAGGGCGGGATACTCTCGGTTGCTTGCCGGGCTCTCCAACAGGGGCAGAGAAATTGAACCAGGGTCCGCCCGGGTCGGCTGCGTGCAAGGCAAGCTCCCTACCTGCTGTGCTATTGCTCCAGCAAGATTTATTTTTAAAAAAGAATAAAGACCTAAGTGAGAGAGTACAGGGGTTAAGGCTCTGAGCCCATATGTGGCTGATGCCAATTCCATCCCTGGCTCTACGCATGGTTCCCCTGAGTACGCCCAGAGTCATCTCAGAGTACTTTGGGGAGTGCTCCCCACTGTAGCTGAGCCACTCCAGGCTCCACAGCACACCCACAGCATTTCCCCATAGCACGGATTGGTGGCTCCCAGCTGACAACACTCCCTCTGGCCATTAGTGGTTCCCATGCTGTCCTGAGTACTGAGTCCTGCAGAGGGACAGTGAGGAGGAAGGAGACAGAGCAGAGACAGGGGAGAGGCTAGGTGGGCCTGTGCCTGATGCCCAGAGCCCTGTCCTGGCCACACCCACTTCCCCACATCCTCCTGGGCTGCTTCAAACAATCAGGGACCTAGAAGAGCAAAGACAAGCTGACCAGGAAGACTTCTGGATTCCCCTGGGACTTTGTGTCAAAAGTGCCGAGATCTGAAGTCAGAGTCTGGGAGCTGAGCTGGGATTCCTTCTTGGACTCAGACTGAGGACACAGAACAGTTTCCCGGTTATGACTTGTCCTCCCTCTTACTGCTCAAGAGGGTTTTCAAGTACCTATCCCCTAACTTGAAGGCAAGCTCAGAAGGAAACACAATGGCAACTTCTCTCATTTCCTGCCCCAACACTACAGGGCTCCCCCCTCCACAGTGGTTTCGATTCTGGGTTTAATTCAGTGGGAGTGAACTTCCTTTCAGGCCGAGTGAAACGCAGCTACAGACGAGACCTCAGGGAAGAAGCTTGTGCTGTCTGCTGTGTGGAGAAGGTACCGACAGTCCAGGCTGGACTCTCTCTCTCTCTCTCTCTCTCTCTCTCTCTCTCTCTCTCTCTCTCTCTCTCTCTCTCTCTCTCTCTGTGTGTTTGACATCAGGGCAGGGTCCAGACTTTGCTTTCTTGTTCTCTTCCCATTTGCTTTCACTTTCAGGATACTCCTTGTGTCCTCTCAGCAGGGCATGGATGTCAGGCCAGTGAAGGCCCCATAGTCATCCCTCGGGGCTCAGAGGAGAGGAGGGGCTTCTCCTGAGGTCACAGAGCCCCTCAGAGGAATAACTGGCCTTTAGTGAAAGTTCCTAAGGAAGATTCTCCTCCAAGGGAAGAGTTCTATGATTAGAGAAAAATTGCCTTTCCATTAACTTCAGTTGAATCCTGCTTTTTTTTTTTTTACTTCAGCACCGTTGAAGGGATGTCTGTTGTTATCCTTTATCCTTCCTCTACTCCCCTCCCCATAAACTCACCACAGTGGGTTTGGAGCACATGCCCAGTTTCCAAAAGCAGCTGCAGCCGTGGTGGCGGGACAGAGTCGAACTCCTGACCCTGCTCCCCTGTCTCTGCCTGTGAGGTCCTCTCTGGTAGACTCTGAGGGACCAGCAACCAGTGTCCCACTTACCCCAGTGATCAGACCTTACTCCATTGCTTCACACCTTTTTATATCCTGGAGCTGTCAACATCCTGACTTCCGGTCACCCTGTACTTTGGGAGGAGACAGAGTCACCTCCTGATTCTCCATGACCTCTGCTCGAGGACCAGCCCATCTTCTGCAGCTGGTTGTCTGGTTCATCCTGGAGGGAGCTCCAAGTAGACTGTAGTTTCCTGTAATTTGGGGGGCTTTCACAGTGGGAGTGGATAGGAGACCAGACATGAAAGATCTAGGCCGTTCAGATGTGATTTTTTCTCAAGGAGTCCTTCATACATCACTAATTCTGTAGTTGTCGCTAACATTTACAAAAAATAATATGGGTACTGATGATACCTGATGTCCAGAGAATGGGAAAGTTTCACCACCTTCACTGATTTCTCTCCCTTTGGTTTCAATTTACGTGAAGATGCCTATATTACTTCTCTCTGTCTCTTAACCTAGTTCTCTTTATTTATTTCATTTTTTAGCATTGATCTCAAAGTTACATCACTGTCCGTCCTCCCATTGTTCATCGATTTTCTCGAGCGGGCCCAGTAACATCTCCATCGTGAGACTTTGTTGTTACTGTGTTTGGCATATCGAATACACCACGGGTAGCTTGCCAGGCTTTGCCGTGCGGGCAAGATAGACCCAATATGAGCACCTCGGTGGTGAATTTTTAAGCAAGAGCAAACTAGAAGTTTACCAAAGCCTAAGGAAGAATTCTTTCTTGGAGTCTTTACACTAAATTCCATATTGGTTGTCCGGTTTGCATTTCCACCAACGTTCCACAAAGGTTTCTTCTCTCCACATCCTCACCCATTCTTGTTGTGTTTTTATTTTAATTTTATTTGGTTTCTTGGGTCACACCCAGTGAAGTTCGGGGTTACTCCTGGCTCTGCACTCAGTAATCACTCCTGGGGGTGCTCAGGGGACCATATGGGATACCAGGGATCGAACGTGGGTTGACTGCGTGCAAGGAAAATGCCCCATTCCTGTCCCCATACTTATTGTTTAAGATAATAACCATTTACATCGAGGTGAGACCAGAATTCATGGCTTCATTTACATTACCCTAGCAATGAGACAATGAATATCTTTTTCATGTGCCTGTTGATTTTCTTAACCATCGATCAAAAACTCTTGGCTATGGGCGCTAGCATGCCATTATTACTCAATGAAACATGACATGTTAGATGAAGAAAGGGAATTTTATTTTTTCTTTTATTAGCATCAATTTAAGTGACCACATGAGATAGTCACCACTGTCTTCCACAACATTTTTTATTGTGGGTAACGTTATGCATCCTCCCAATTCTATCTAATGCATCTCATTTCTCAGAGAGAACATAGCAAGACCTGCGGAAGTCCGGGTGAGGTGTATTTCCAACACTCGGGAGAATTTCAACTGCTTCATCTGTGCCTCTTGATCCAGTATTGAAACATTTTTCAGGAAAAGCCATGGCCTCAGGCTCCATGTCTGCCAAGAAGATGAGGGAGGAAGTGACCTGCTTCATCTGCCAGAAGCTGATGACTGAGCCTGTGAGCATCGATTGTGGACACAGCTTCTGCCGCTTGTGCATAGCAGGCAAGCTTGAGAGACAAATCCTGGGATTGCCATGGTACATCTACTGTCCCCAGTGTCAGGCGCCATTTAAAAGGGAGAGCCTCCGGCCCAACAAGCAGCTGCAAAACCTCATTGAAACCATCAAGGAGATGGAGCGTGAGAAACTGTGTGAGGAACATGGAGAAAAGCTCCACCTGTTTTGTGAAGATGATGAACAGCTCATCTGCTGGCGCTGTGAGCGGACACCGCCGCACAAAGGACACAGGACAGCTCTTGTGGAAGACGTGTGTCAAAACTATAAGGTGAGTGTGTGAGGTCAGAGGCTTCACATATGCAGCCTGTGTGCTCCTGAACCCTGTTTTCTATGTGTGTGTTTTCAATTTTGTGGCCACACTTAAAGCAGTCAGGGTTTACTCTTGCTCTTTGCTCAGGGATCACTTTTAGTGAGGCTTGGGAGACCATCTGGGGTCCCATGGATGGAACCCATTTTAGCCGTGTACAAGGCAATTACCTTACCCTCTGTACCATCTCTCTGGCCCCAACTAAAACCTATTTAATTTATTTAATTAATTAATTTTATGTATTTAAAGAAGAAGTGATCTCTGAGCACAGAGCCAGGAATAAGCTCTGAGCACTGCTAGGTATGCTCCCCCCTTTGTAATCCCATCAACGGCCAGGACTCAGAGACTATAAAACCCAGCTCCCAGAAGCGCGTGGCCACCTTCGTGGCCGCACAACATCTTTTCATCTCATTCCTACTTTGGACAAACTGGCGGGCTACCAAACGTAACCTGCCCACACGGCAGAGTCTGGCAAACTCCCCATGGCCTATCCAATATGCCAAATACCAGTAACAATGAAGGGTCTCATTCTCCTAACTCTGAAAGAATATGGCAATTTTTTTAAAAAAAAAATCTCAGGGCTAGGACAAAGGAGACGTTACTGGGGCCTGCTCGAGGCAATCGACGAATAACAGGATGGTCGTGATTGTGATCGTGGTCATGAAAGGGGGGAGCATACCTGGCAGTGCTCAGAGCTTATTCCTGGCTCTGTGCTCAGAGATCACTTCTGGTTGGACTCAGGGACCAGATGGGGTGCTGGGGATTAACCCAGGGTTGACTGTGTGCAAGGCAAAAGCCTTAACCCCTGTCCTCTTTCTTCATCTCTGTTTTATTTATCTGTTAATTTTTTTAATTGGGGTAACTTAAATTTCTATATATGTTTCAGAAATGCTTTTCTCACTCTTCAAAAGTAAGTTATGGGGTAGTGCAGCGGTAAAGCGCTCTCTGTGTGAGCCCTGGTTTCCTTCCCACTACAAAAAAATTAAAACCAAAGCCACATATCCCAGATATCAACCACCAAGGTGCCAAAGTCCCTTCACCTCTACTCTTTTTTGCTCAACTAAGTCATCCATATTGGCCAACCCCAAGCCAGTAGTCTAGAGTCAAGAATTCATTGTATCTTTTCCCTAACTTTGTTTCTTTATATCCCACATATAAATAAAAAGGCCCTCCCATTGATCATCGATTTGCTCGAGTGGGCCCAGTAACGTCTCCATTGGAGACTTTGTTGTTACTGTGTCTGGCATATCGAATACTCTCGGTACTTTGTTGTTACTGTGTCTGGCATATCGAATACTATTGGTAGCTTGCCGGGCTCTCCGAGAGGGGCGGAGGAATCAAACTCGGGTCGGCCATGTTGGCTGTGTGCAAGGCAGACACCCTACCCGCTGTGCTATCGCTCCAGCCCATATAAATAAAATTATCTGTTATTTATTAATTACCAAAAATTTCTAGAAAAATCTTTCTCACTCATTTCAATTATTTTTCTTAGCATGACACAGTCACATGATGTCCCAAGTGGGAAGATTTTTATTTCTTCTATTTTCAGCTTTATTGATTTCTCTTTTTTTTTTTAGATTTGGAAACTAATCAGCAGTGCTGAGGGGTTGCTCTTGACTCTGTGCTCAGGGGTCACTCCTGGTGGTGCTTGGGGTATTGTCTGCAGTGCTGTGGATAGAACCTGATTGGTTGCAGGCAGCAAAAGTGACCTAATCCCTATTTTCTCTCCAGTTCTCAACTTCTCACCTTTCTACCTAAGTAATATATAGTTAGCCTGAAACTGAGATATGATCCTCCAATATGGATTTATCATGTCAACTTTCTGAAAACCAAAATATGATACTTACTGAGTCAGGTTCTGACTGCATCCCAATCTTCCCTAAGATTGTCTTTCCACGCTTGCTGTGATGAAGTGTAGAATCCAGTATACAGGAACCCACATCTCCACATTTTCTTGTTTATTACCATGTACCAGTTTGAGAAGCCGTAATGAGCATGACATGTCATAGCATTTGAAAACATAATGGACAGAGTCACAATACATTTGGTCCTATAAGCAAACCCAGAAAGGAAAAATGCCCACAATCCCTTTGTTAGGATGGTGGTGAGTGGCCCCAAGTGATAGAGAAAAGGTATGGTGTCCAGACACAAGATCGACATGTGGGACACAGGAAAAGGATCTTGGCTGACACCAGGTACATGAGAAGGGAAAGGCAGGTGATTGCGCAGTAATGGAATTTGGGCCTTGATCTTTGGTATTATCTCATAGTGAAAAGTCATAGCTCAGAGGATTGACTACAAGGGTTTTTCACTTGTGAACAGGGGATAGTAGGGACCTGAGAATACCATTCTGGTAAAAGATACCAAGTTGTAAATTTCAGATTATTCCCATAGGAAATGGGAAAGAAAGAGTTCAGTTAAGAAACAGAGGGAATTTTGGGACTGGAGAGATAGCACAGCGGGTAGGGCATTTGCCTTGCACGTGAACGACCTGGGTTCGATTCCCAGCATCCCATATGGTACCCTGAGCATCGCCAGGAGTAACTCCTGAGTGCAGAGCCAGGAGTAGCCCCTGTGCATCGCCAGGTGTGACCCAAAAAGCAAAATAAAAAAAATCTTTTAGAAACAGAGGGAATTTCAAAACATTTTAAATAAATCACTAGAAAATATGAAGGTGAGTAGTGGTTTGGAAATAATCTTTAGGTTTTCTGCCTCAAAGACTGGTATAAAGGCTGCCTTTGTTGTGTTGGAATGAAGTGGTGGGCAGAGTCTAGGTGCTTCATTTATTGTCTGTCCTAACTAGACTTGAGGAAAATACTGTCCCCTTGGACAAGTGATTTACTCCTTCCTAAGGCTTGTTTTCTACACTACAAAAACTATGTTTAAACTCCAACCAATTTCTCTCGATCCAAGACAATCAGAAGTGTTGCATCACTGCCAGCTTCATCATGTTTCCTCTCAGCCTGGAAAGGCCCCTCAGATTCTCAGAGTGATTGTGTCTCGGATGCTGGGATTCCATTAGATGTCTTAAGAGCAGTGAGACTGCAAAATAAAAATTATTAACACAGTTTTCTTTTCTGTAGGAAAAGCTTCAGAAAGCTGTGACAAAACTGAAGGAAGTAGATAATCTGTGTTGGATTTACACACAGTTCACGAATGAACAAATAACTGAATGGGAGGTAAGAGTTTAACGTTTATTATGCTCACACTGTTCTCCATCTTAGGATGCATGCCCCAGGATGGTTGGAGAAAGCATTATGATGGCTTTAAATGTCAATAAAATGGCCCCAACCGTTAAAATGCAAAGTAGGAAGTGGTATTTGCTTTGACTATATCTGGAGAATTTATCCCCAAATACTTCAGCCTTTCACTAGCAATTGGTTAGGACACCCAGTCCCTCGTGGGAAGAACTGGGGTACCTCCTTGCTTTGTAATGATCCTTGCCTAGGCTACAAATTCTAAACACACCAAAGTACCTTCCAAAGTATCGACCATATCACTTTGACACATTTGCCATAGAACAGGGCTTGGCTCTTAAGCTATTAGCTTCAGAAGTCAACTTTTTTGAGAACCAAGAAACAGGATTATCCCAGGTGGGATTTGCATGACTCGAGCTCATGAGGTCTATAAGGAGGATCAGAACTGCTGCAACTGCAGGCTCTGGGTCACTATTCCCATGACTCCCCATGAATAATGACACATTCCTTATGTCCTTATTGATAAAATCCAGCGTCTACATGTTTTTATCCCACGGGCAATGAGCTTTGAGAAGTGTCATCCAACTTCTGTCCTCATTCTTTGCAGATTTTAAACATGATCTCTCAAAGGACAGTTTTTCTTATTTTGTGCTCTTGCATGGGGAGGACTTTAATTTTAAAAATCACACAGGGGAAACCCCCATCAACACAATAGTTAAAGCAGCTCCTGTCTTCTACTTCAAGAAAAATCTATTATTCCTTTGCTATAATTTCATAGACATTGGAATACTGTATGATTTGAGAAAGCTAAAATGGAAATTGCAATTCTGTTCTTCCCAAGTGATTGGTTTCTGTCAATTAACTACATAAAGATGATGAAATGTACCTAAGAGTTGGTGGATAAATATTTCTAAGAATTTACAATCCAGACTTCTTCCTGCTGATAATCATGGTTTTACCCACATTCTGGCTTCAAAGTTCAGTTCCAGCTATGGTAACTACAAGGGTTTGGTTCAATAACTTGCCTTCAACCAAAAAGAGTCTTAAATCCAATTGAAAACTCATATTTAGGAGCTGTAATCACAGGACAATGGGTAGGGTTCTTGCCTTGCACACAGCTGACCTGGATTCAATCACCTGCATCACACATGGTCCCCCGAGTATGGCCAGGAGTAATTGGTAAGTGCGGATCCAGAAGTGACCCCTGAGAATTGATAGGTGTGGCCTCACAAAACAAAACAAACCCTCATGTCTATCTTTATAACTGATAGTGTATTTACCTTGGCCAAGTTCCATCTGAAATTATCTAACATTCCTGTGAGTCTTTTCTCCTGATTAGAAGAAGACTAGACTAGAGAAGAAGGAATTCAAGCCAATAATTATATCCAATTGTGACAAGGTCTTCTACTTCTCAGTGTCTGCCTCCTTGGCATGACCCTACTGCAGGCTACTTGGGACATTCTTCAGGCTCAAATAACTGATAGGAATGGGGACTGGAGTCACAGTATGGTGGGTAGGGTGCTTGCCTTTCACACAGCCAACCCAGGTTCAATCCCTGGCATCCCATATGATCCCCCAAGCCTGCCAGGAGTGATCCCTGAGCACAGAGCCAGGAGTTATCTCTGAGCACCTCCATGTGTGCACCCCCAACCACTACCACCAAACAAACCAGACAAACAAAATAACTCATAGGAAACTTATGCATACCCGTTGAGGAATCTATCGTGAGTATAAATTTTGGCATGTGTATGTGTGTAAATAAGCATAACATCATATTTCCCGTTTTAAGCTTTTTAAGCCCTTTCAGTAAACCACTCAGTGGCAATCAGTGTTTTCACATTGCCCTGCAGTCATCACCATACATTAGCAATATTCTCATTGTCCCAAAGTGAAACTCTATTCCAACGACACAATAATTCCTCACTTCCACTTCCAAATCCTGATAGACATTGTTCCCTTTTCTGTCTATGAATCTGACAAATATATATATATGTACATATTTAGTCTTTTGTTTCTGACTTTACCTAGCAAAATTGCCCAAGATTCTTCCAAGTTGCAGCAGGTATCAAACTTTGTTTTCTTATTACTGTGAGTCTATTTCCATAGTTTTTATGTGCCTGTGATTTATCTATCAATCAATGAACGTTTAGCTTATTTTTACTTTTTGAGCACATTTCTTCCTTGTAGGAGAAGGTAGAACTTAGGAGACAAGAAATCCACTCTGATTTTAAGACACTCCATAACTTCCTGCATGAGGAGGAAGAGTCTTATCTCTGGAGGCTGGAGAAAGAAAAAGAGCAGACTCTCAACAGATTGCTAGAAAATAAAGCAGCCTTGGAAAAGCAGAGCCAAGAATTCAAGAATCACATCCTGGAATTAGAGAGAAAATGCCAAGACTCAGCCCAGAACTTGCTGCAGGTGAGACTGTTCTTGGAGAAAAGGAAGGAGTTTCTGTTCCTGCATTGCTGAAAGGAGATTGGTGAGGGATTATGTCAAGATTGGAAAGGCCTGCCGCCCCTTGCAGAGGAGTGTGGGGAATTTAAAGTGATGCTCTTTTAGTTTTTACTTGCTTTTCTTTTTTTAATCAATGAGCGATAGCACAGCAGTAGGGTGTTTGCCTTGCACGCAGCCAACATGACCAACCCGAGTTCGATTCCTCCGCCCCTCTCGGAGAGCCCGGCCAGCTACCGAGAGTATCTCGCCCGTACGGCAGAGCCTGGCAAGCTCCCCGTGAAGTATTCGATATGCCAGACACAGTAACAACAAAGTCTCCAATGGAGACGTTACTGGGCCCGCTCGAGCAAATCGACAACAACGGGAGGGCCTTTACTTTCTTCTTTTACTTTACTTTCTTTTTTTAAAGCCCACACCCAGCAGTGCTCAGGGGCATGTTAGACAAGCACCTTAACTCCTACCCTATCTCTCCAGCACTGCTTCTTTTAGGAACACATATGTAATGTAGGGTTGCTTCCACTGTAGCACTGTAGCACTGCCCTCCCGTTGTCCATCGATTTGCTCAAGCGGGCACCAGTTACATGACTGTGAGAGTAATTGTGAGTAATTGTGAGACTTGTTACTGATTTTGGCATATCGAATACACCATGGGGAGCTTGCCAGGCTCTGCTGTGCAGGCAGGATACTCTCAGTAGCTTGCCAGGCTCTTGGAAAGGGATGGAGGAACCGAACTCGGGTCGGCCGCGTGCAAGCCAAATGCCCTACCCGCTGTGCTATTGCTCCAGCCCATTTCCACAAGGGTGTAAAATATTTACAAGTGAATTTAAAATTATACCCTGCCTGCATGGGTAACTTGGACATATGGAGCCTTGATTTTGCCACTATTTGTATGACTCTGTTTCGAGACACAGAACTCTTGACTGTCAAACTATCTTCTGAAGGGCTATTCCAGATGCCTGATTGTGAGCTAAATGACTAAGAACATTTCCCCTGCTTTTACTGGAAAGCTCTGACTCCAGTAGTTATCTCGTGCCTGTTTCAGCCCAGAAAGGATCCAGCCCATTAAAATAAATGCCCAGAGCTATTTATTCCTGTTCCAATTATGGAATGGGGGTTACCCTATTCAGTTGTGATGGTAGTATGACTGTCCCAGCACCCTGGGTGGCCTGCTGCCACCACATAGTAGCTCTGTCCTGGGCCTGCAGGGAGTCAGCACTGAGACTTTATGACACATGATCTTCAGGATGACTGCTCTGATGAAAAGCATGTCACTGAAAACTAGAAGTGCCCTGGACAAGCTCCTGTCCCATGTGCCCAAGATGCTTTCATAAGCTGATGTGGTTGGAGACACCAAAGCTTCCCCACAAGAAAGATTCAGCAAGAAACTAAAAACATAGTTTAGTTCAACTTTCACTATCATGATCACGACCATCCTGTTGTTCGCCGATTGCCTCGAGCAGGCCCCAGTAACGTCTCCTTCGTCCTAGCCCTGAGATTTTTTTTTAAAGTGCCATATTAAAGGCTCTTTCAGGGTTAGGAGAATGAGATCCATCATTGTTACTCCTATTTGGCATATTGGGTACACCACAGGGAGTTTGCCAGACTCTGCCGTGTGGGCAGGTTACATTTGGTAGCCTGCCATTTTGTCCAAAGTAAGAGTGAGATAATAAGATGAAATAATAAGCTTCCAGGAGCTGAGTTTTATAGTCTCTGGGTCTTGGCCGCTGATGGGATTACAGGACGCCAGGGGGCCAGTTGGTGGGTGTGACCCCCACCTACTGGAATATGGAGGATCTGGGTGGAGGATGCTCAGCCTCGATCCGAGCAGGCTTGGAGATCTCAGCTCCGGGACCTGCATGCCTTTGTTCCTCTGCTGGTACCTTCATGTGTGTGGAGAGTGGTCTCAGCATGGTGGTGGCTGGTTCTGGAGATCTTCGACTCCAGGAGCCCTGGTCAGGGCGGGGAGGGAAACTCAACCCACTCCCCTCCAAGGGGCCCCAGCGAGGAAGGCCAGGCGCGGGGGCAGGAGACTCTGCGTTGTTCTCTTCCGGGAGCTGGGTTTTATAGTCTCTGGGTGTTGGCCGCTGATGGGATTACACGGCGCCAGGGGGCCAGTTGGTGGGTGTGACCCCTGCCTACTGGAATTATGGAGGATCTGGGAGGAGGACGCTCAGCCCCAATCCGAGCAGTTCCACTTTAGAGGTTAATAAGTATGCTGCCATGTGATAGCATCAGGGATGGGTGCGAATCACCCAAATGGGATCCATCAGTATCTACAGCTAGGCTCCATCTTTTGACTTCCTTAGAGGGATGTTTATAGAGAACAGCCCCACATGCCAAACCCAATGGAATCCTGGTGTTCAAATACTCACCCCTGGTCTTTGTTTCTCTACAGGATATAAAAGACAGCTTGAGCAGGTGAGTGCCCCATATCATCAATGTGGGCAGGGGAGGGGCATGGGCATAGAGACATGGATGGAAGGAACCAATGAAGGAATCTCTGGTTTCTGCTCATTCTAGAAGTTCAGATGTCAAGATGGAAACACAGAAGTTGATCTCTTTGGAGCTGCATACTGTGTGCAATGTCTCTGAGCTTTACTTTGATGTGATGAAGATGCTAAAGCGCTATCAAGGTGAGTAGATTGAAGGACCCCTACTCTGTAGGTTTGGGGGAAAATGTTCAACTACAATGAAGTTCACCACCTGGATCAGGCTCACAGCCAGAGGTTGTTTACATTTAACAAATCTTTCACATTCTTCCTGATAGTATGTTCCTGACATATCTATGAAGACTGGAAATTCCTGCTCTCCCACTTCTTAGCTCTGTCACTTCAGGCTATTCATCTCCTCAGTTTCCCCTTGTGCAAAATGAAAACATAAACAGTCCCCACATTACTGGTTTGTCATAATATTTTTGTTTGTTTTGTTTGGAGGGCACATTTTGCAGTGCTCAGGGCTTATGCCTGACTCTGCTCTCAGCGTTCACTCCTAGTAGGCTTGGGGTGCTGAGAATCAAACCTGCATCAGCCTCATGCAAGGCAAGCACTCTATCTTCTGTACTATAGCTCCAGCCCCAAGTCACGAATATTAAATGCATCAATCACCCTGTCTAGTGTTTAAATAACTGCCTGGGACATAAAGTTTATTATTATCTCCAGGACCCTTTGTTTCTAGTTTCTTAAAATGCAGGGTTAGATTAATTATTTAAGTCTTTTATGTTTCCTATGTAGATCTGTATGCTATGAATTGTCCTTTTAATATTGCTTTTACTATGCCCCATATGTTTTCAGAGCTCATGTCTTCATTCTTATCTGTTATCAGGTATCTTTTTATTTCTCTTTTGACCTGATTGCTGTTTAGTTGTTTAGCTTTCAAATAGTTGTTTGGAGGCAAATATTAGTTATTAGATTCCAATAGTTGGAGTTTCCAAACTCTTTGGTGCTCAGGAGTCCATGAGGTACCAGGGATCACACCCAGGGCTCCTTCATGCAAGGAAAATACTCTAGCCCTTTGGGTTATCTCCCTGGTCCCTCACAGTTTTCATTCATTCATTATTTTTTCATTTAATTTCTAATTTCATAGCACTGTGATCTAAAAAGACCTTGATGTGACTTCTATTTTCATAACTATGATAACCTGTTTTATGCCCCAGCATGTGGTCTATCTGGAGAATGTTCCATGTTCCATGTGCACTGAGAAGAATGTGTATTGAGAGTCTTGGAGGTGGAGAATCCTGCTTATTTGTATTAAATCCAACTCTTCCACTCCTCACTTAAGGCAGTTGTTTTCCTATTGATTTTCTGCCTGATTGATCTAGCTAGTGATGAGAGTGAGAGTTTTAGGGTCTCTTATTACCATTGTGTGGATGTGACTCCTTGAACCTATTAGTAATTGCTTGAAGAACTTAGTTGTCCCTTCATTTGGTGCATGTATGTTGATTAGAGTTGAGTCCTCTTTATGTATTGATTGCTTGGTCAATATATAATGTCATATATAATGTGCAGCCCTGTCTCTCATTTCCTTCTTGAGTTTGAACTCGATTTTGTCTGATAGAACATGACCATCCCAGGATTTGCTAGGTGACAATTTTTTTCCAGCCTTTTACTACGAGCTTGTGTTTAATCATGAAAATTCATATGTGATTCCTATAAGTCGCAGAAGCTTCAAGTTATGCTTCTTAATTTAGTCATTCTAATGGCTAAATAATACACTCCTTTTGATAGGAAAGTCCAGTCCATTAATCTTAGGAAGATTATTTACATAAAAATTCATCCCAAATTTTCTGTGAGGATTTGGGGCGGTTTTACGATTTGGTTTTGTTTCATTAGTGCTCACTTATTGCAGTGTTTTGTGGGGGTTTTTTGTTTGTTTTTTTATTTGTTTGTTTTTTGAGGTATCAGGGATTGAAACTAGTGCTCTATGGATTTCTGGGTGTAGCCCTGAAGGCCCCCAATAATGCTTCATATGGCCCTTCGTGGCACCGTAGTGACCGAGATAATCCCTTGCACCCCAGGGTCTGAGCAGCACCACACCTCAGGACCCTCACACTGAATCTCACACTAGGAAGGGCTGGAGACTCTCCTTAGTTCCTTCTGGGAGGTGGGCTTTTGGAAAAGACAGGCCCCTTATAAATTCTGATACTTTCCGTTCCTGATTTCTGTAAGACAGAAATGATGGTGATGGTGATGGTGATGGTGATGGTAATGGTGATGGTGATGGTGATGGTGATATCACTCACATTGTGGATATTTGCCATGTACCAGGAATCTTAAAAAGTATTACTCTTTAGTTCATGCAGTCTTCTCCACCATTCTCTGTGACACACATGGACATTACTATGTTTAGCCAACTGAGGCTCAGAAAATGTCTTCTAGCTAATAAGAAAGAAAACTGGGGTTTAAAGAAGCTGCTGCTGCTTCTTCTTCTTCTTCTTCTTCTTCTTCTTCTTCTTCTTCTTCTTCTTCTTCTTCTTCTTCTTCTTCTTCTTCTTCTTCTCCTTCTTCTCCTTCTCCTCCTCCTCCTCCTCCTCCTCCTCCCCCTCTTCCTCCTCCTTCTCCTCCTTCTTCCTTTTTAAAGACTGACTGAACATCAAAAAAATACTTCTATCTTTTTCCCCCCCAGTCAATGTAACTCTGGATCCAGACACAGCTCATCAGGAATTAATTCTGTCTGAGGATCAAAGGCAAGTGACCCGTGGATGCCCCCAGAGAAAGCCTGACACTCCTGCGAGATTTCGTGTCTTACCCTGTGTCCTAGGCTTTGAGAGCTTCATCTCAGGAAAACATTACTTTGAAGTGGATGTAGGCAAAGGTACTCAATGGGATGTAGGCGTTTGTCTGAAAAATGTGTCAAGGGACATTGCCACGGCACAGGCACCTCAATCTGGATTCTGGGTCATCAGACTGTGTAAAAACAAGAGTTATTTAGCCCTTACTTCTCCCCCAACTCCCCTTCCTCTGAGGGTCCAGCCTGAAGTTGTAGGGATTATTCTAGACTGTGATGCTGGGCTCGTATCCTTTTACAATGCCACAACTGGCTCCCATATCTACACCTTCCCAAAGACCTCCTTCTCTCAAGATGTCCAGCCTTATTTGCAGGCTTATCATTATTCTCCTTTATTCTTGCCTTCCCCTGATGAATAAGGAGAAAGAAAAATCGGTAACCCAGCAGAAAGAGTAGTTTGTAAACCCAGGTGGGAGCAGAAGTTTGATCTAATTTCTTCATCGCTAATGCTCTATACATAGAACAATGCTGACTTTTTGGATCATTCATAAAACTGCAATGGATGGAAACACTGAAATATGAAAGATAATGAGACTGAGTTAGGAAAAGCAAAGTATTTTGCATTATATATGTGTGTATATACATAGAGTATATACACACACATGCATATGTATAAATATATATATATATATGTATATGGTGAGGGCGCCCATAACCCAGAGAATATAAACTAAAGCCCATAACTGGTCAAGTGTTCAAGACATTCCCTGGTTTTGTGTTCAGAGATCTCTCCTGGCAATGCCTGGGAGACCATCTGCAATGTCAGAGATCAAACTCATATCAAGTTCAATCACGTGCAAGGCAAGCACTGTATCGCCTATACTCTCTTGCATATTTTGTTTTGTCCTCTCTTTTCCTCTTAGAAATTTAATTTCCAAGGCACTGTGTATTTAGGCCATTACAGGACTGGAGCGATAGCACAGCAGGTAGGGCGTTCGCCTTACAAGCGGCCAACATGGCCGACCCGAGTTCGATTCCTCCGCCCCTCTCGGAGAGCCCGGCAAGCTACCGAGAGTATTCAATATGCCAGACACAGTAACAACAAAGTCTCCAATGGAGACGTTACTGGGCCCGCTCGAGCAAATCGACGATCAACCTTTACAGGGTTACAGTGAGCCAGATGACCAGGGCTAAGGAGGGAGTGCTCTGTTTGTTTGATATCATTTGAGGGAAATATGTGACTATCTCTCTCACTGCATAAAAAGAGAAGCATCAGTCAGGCAGTAAGTCCTCTGGTCACTTACCCATAAGATGCCCATGTTTCAGACCAGGTAGTGCCTTCGTGAAGTAAAAAATCCAAACAGTATTTCATAGCCCTAGATCTCAGTTGAAATGTAAATGTGTCCCATATGAAAGCAAAAGAAAGCAAACCACATTTGCAACATAAAGGAGAGTTCCTATTTTCTCCAGATAACAGTCGAGTAGAAAAGAGAAAAGAAAGAAAAACACACATTTATTTGCTTGGAACTTTTTATTATTTAGTCTGACAATTCTGTGGATATTAAAGTAGAAATATATTTTTTGGTGAAAAGATACTGTCTTAATTTGTCTGAAAATATGCTGGGGGATATTGTCTCAGCTACTTTAGGTTTTTGTTTTTACACGTATAGGGCCAAAATAGTTTTAAAAATTAAGTTTGAGGGGAGATTTATATTCACATCTTTAACTGTGAATTAGGGGATATGGTGCTGCCAGCAGGTCAACCCATACGTACCAGCCTGATGGTGCCTTCAGACTTTCAGATACCCCAAAGTTGCTGCTGTGCCTTTGGCCAGAACAAACAACTTGGGGACAAGTTTACCAAGAAATTAAATGGGCAAAAGTTAGATATATGGGAGCCACACCCACAAACCACCTCCGGCTCTTCTATATAAGCTCACTGATTGGCCTTATTTAAGACACACATAAATCTCTAAAGAGACCAAAAGATGCAGTTAAGGTCTGTAGCACGGAGGTAGGCAGGAACCTGTGACTGAGATCTCCAGGCCCGCTTGGGTCTGGACTGGGCCTCCTCCCCCCCAGACCCCCAGTTTTCCAGTAGCTTGGCAGTCATACCCACAGAGTGCCCCTAGCACCATGCAATCTCATCAACAGACAAGACCCAGAGAATATAAACTAAAGCTCCCAGAAGAGAATGCTGCAGAATGTCCTGACCCCACACCAGGGTGTCCTCACCAGGGCACCTCAGAGGGAGGCAGATTGAGTCTCCCTCCCTGCCCCAAGCAGAGACCCGGCAGCCGAAAACCTCCAGAACCCAACAGTTGCCATGTTCAAGGCCACTCTCCACATGTTCGGACAACCTCTCCCAAGAAAGGACGAGCCTCACTCAAGACGGGATGAACCTCACTGGAGAGTGGGATCGGCCGGAAAACCCAGGTACAGCAGAAACCCATGACTGAGATCTCCAAGCCCGCTCTGATGGGGACTGGGCGGGCCTCCTGCCCCCAGCTCCCTAGTTTTCCAGTAGCTTGGCAGTCACACCCACAAACCGCCCCCAGTGCCATGTAATCTTATCAACGGCCAAGACCCAGAGACTACAAACTAAAGCTACCGAAAGAGAACAACACAGAATTTCCTGGACATTATACTCTATCCATAACAAGCAATATAAAACAAATCGTCTAGCATTGCCTTTTTGGCAGGTTTGAGTGGTGGTGAGACTGGTGTCAAAATATCAAATGAAACCAAGGTAGAGAGAGAGTATGGGGAAAATTGTCTGCCATATAGGCAGGGGAAGGGTTGGAACGGGGGTGTGGGTGGGGGAATACTGAGGATTTTGGTGGTGGAAAATGTGCACTGGTGAAGGGATGAGTGTTTGATGATTTTATGACTGAAACACAAACATGAAGGCTTTGTAACTGTATCTCATGGCGAATCAAAAAAAAAGGGGGGGGGGTGAAGGAAATAATAATAAAATAATAAAATAAAATTAACATTCTGAAAAATAAAAGAAAAAGTAATGTGGAGTTCATGCCCAATTCAATCAGCTTAATCAATGGCTGAATAAGTAGCTGTCCTTCTACATAATAAAACAATAAAAATAAAATAAAATTATGTATTAATCTCCTGAGTCATGTTTGGTTTATGGTTGTAGAAACTAAGAATAATCTGATTCTTAATTTCTGATAAAATCAATACAATAATGGATGAAAGCCTTCTAAATGCTCATAAGAATGAAACACACTTTTGAAAAAAATATAAAGGAGGCACTACACAATTCCATGAATATATTAACAATAAAATTAAGGCACCCAAAATACTCTGAACTTCTTTTGAACAAAGTAGAAAAGCAACTTGTCAATTCAGTCAGACCAACGAGTTTGAGGAATTATATAGCATAATACATAATCAATCTGTACAGAGTAATCTGTTTAAAACGTTTAAGTAGGGGCTGAAGAGAGTACAGGGATAAGGGTGCATGCCTTACAAGTGCCCAACCCAGGTTCAGTCCCTGTCACCATACATGTTCCATACACCATGCATGTTCCCCTGAGCACAAAGCCCCTGAGCAATGCCAGCTGTGCTCCCCCCACCCCACTAGCAACAAATTGTTCATAAACTTTTTTTTTTTTTGCTTTTTTGGGTTACACCCAATGATGCACAGGGCTAACTCCTGGCTCTGCCCTCAGGAATTACTCCTGGCGGTGCTGGGAGACCATATGGGATGCTGGGAATCGAACCTGGGTTGGCCACATGCAAGGCAAACGCCCTACCCACTGTGCTATCACTCCAGCTCCTTTCCATAAACTATTATGTTTTGGATTTTCAAACTGAAGGAAGCAACTGAAATAAAAAGATGGCCAATGATAGTTAGAGATATAGTAGTAGTGTATTCATTTTAAAATGATCCCATTATTGATTCCAAAACAGATTGGGGGGGGGGGGCAGAGGTGGAGGAACAAGGTGGAGGGCTTTGGCACCTTGATCTTGGTGAAATGTGGCAACTGTACATCAAAACCGAAAACATTAGCACTATTACAAAATTGTTGTCTAAATTACAGTAATAACAATATTCTTTAAATGTTTTCAATTTCTTCGTTTTGGGGACCATCCCTGGCCGGGGGTACTCCTGGCTTTGTACTCAGAGATCATTCCTGGTGGGCTCAGGGGGCCATATGGGATCAATCCCTGGTGGTCTGTGCGTAAAGCAAACTCCCTACCCACTGTACTAGCATTCCTCTCCCTATCACGTCCCAAGTTCCTACACCCATGTCCTTAGGCCATCTCTACTCCACCTGAGCATCGCTAGGTGTGGCCCAAAACCCAAACCAAGCAGAACAAAAATGGGAGGTTTTTGCATCATTCCTGAGGTTTGCTAAAGAACTGTCTTGATTTATTCAGGTGACAATTCAAGGAATTGATCCCTGATGTGGGAAAAAAGCCTTGGCAGAACTCTAGCACACTGCAGAAAATGCATGCATTCATTCCACAACCCTTAAGAGACTATTAGGTGAGGTCGGCCCTATCAGATAATTTGCTAGTGCATTAAATAGTAATTTGCAAACTACGTGGACAAAAGTGTTCTCATGGGCTTCAGCTGAGGACAAGTAAAGTAAAGGCCCTCCCGTTGATCATCAATTTGCTCGAGCGGGCCCAGTAACGTCTCCATTGGAGACCTTGTTGTTACTGTGTCTGGCATATCGAATACTCCCGGTAGCTTGCCGGGCTCTCCGAGAGGGGCGGAGGAATCGAACTCGGGTTGGCCATGTTGACTGCGTGCAAGGCAGACGCCCTACCCGCTGTGCTATCGCCCCAGCCCTAGGATAGTAATCAGTAAACACCAACTTTAGAGGTGGAAGGAAGTCAATCAAAGGGGGTGGGGTAGGGGCAAGAAAAGTTTTTTGGGCCAGGGCTATAGCACAGTTGGTAGGGCGCTTGCCTCTCTGGTACAGACCAAGATTTCTGGATTCTATCCCTGGCATCGCAGATGGTTCCCTGAGCACTGCAAGGAGTAATTCCTGAGCGCAGAGTCAAAAGTAAGTAAGCCCCAAGCATAACACCCCACTTCCACCCCCACCCAAAAAAAAAAAAGATTATTTAAAAATTAAGGAGCTGGAGTGATAGCACAGCGGGTGGGGTGTTTGCCTTGCACATGGCCAACCTGGGTTCAATTCCCAGCATCCCATGTGGTACCCCGAGCACCTCCAGGAATGGTTCCTGAGTGCATGAGCCAGGAGTAACCCCTGTGCACTGCTGGGTGTGACCTAAAAAGAAAAAAATAAATAAGGGCAATTACTTAAAAATGTTTAAGATATGTAAGAATAGTACTTTACCGGGAATTGTGAATCAGTCTCATCCAATACTGGTTTTCCTCGGATGTGGAAAAAGACACAAACTGATCTTTTGAATTATAAATTCAAAAAACCAAAGGGGGCCAATCTAGACTCTGGGTCACTCAAACCAAGTTTGGACGGGGCTAAGGCCTTTTGGGAATTTTAGCTCCAATCTCCATTATCTCCACCAGGCTTTTCCACAACCCGCCTGAGTCCAGGTCGGGTCGGTAGCTGGTGGGCCACTCCGGCTTGGTGGGGACCTGGTAACACATCGCTCTGGGCACCGAATCGCCAGGGAGCCTCAAAACAGCTCGGCCTGTCCCACCTAGAGGGCTGGACCAAGCTGTAAATTACTTGACCACAAGGATTTGATCACTATCTGTCCCTGAGGACACTAGGCCCCCGTGCATCTATCTCCTCATAAGGACCCAGTTAAAAAAAAAAAAAAAAGAAAAAAGCTACTACTGGGATGTGGCCTCAGCCAGCAGCCATCAGACTGGGGCAAGGGGGAATGACAGCAGTGTGAGCTAAGACGCAGTGTCCTGCGATGTAACTTTAGAAAGCAGTTGGCGCTTTCCTGAGGTCAACTGGCAATGGGCTTGGAAGCCTGGAGGAGCTGGACGCCCCTTCCCAACTACCAAGGCCACCGTGGGGCAAACCTGCCTCGGAGCCCACGGAACCCCCAGTGCACCAGCAAGACGCTCGTGCGCGCGCACTTCTGCGTTTGAGCTCTTTCCGAGAGGGATTGGTGGCTCTTAAAAGAGCCGTTGGGTTATCCGACGCTTCCAACTCAACTCACTTCCTCTTGGGCGCCGCCTTCTTCGGCTTGGCGGCCGCCTTCGGCTTGGTCACCTTGGCCTTGGCCGCTTTGGGCTTGACGGCCTTGGCGGGGCTCTTGGCCACCTTCTTGGCCTTCACCACCTTGGGCTTCTTGGGGCTCTTGGCGGGCTTCTTAGCCGCTGCTGCAGGCTTCTTGGCCTTTTTCGGGGTCTTGGCTCCCTTCTTCGGAGCAGCCGCCGTCGAGGCCTTTTTCGATTTCTTGGGGGTACCCGCAGCCTTGGCCTTGGCCTTGGCCTTGCCGGAGCTGGGCTTGGCGTCCCCGGAGGCCGCCTTCTTGTTGAGCTTGAAGGAGCCCGAGGCGCCGGTGCCCTTGGTCTGCACCAGGGTGCCCTTGCTCACCAGGCTCTTGAGCCCCAGCTTGATGCGGCTGTTGTTCTTCTCCACGTCGTAGCCGGCGGCCGCCAGCGCCTTCTTGACGGCGGCCAGGGACACGCCGCTGCGCTCCTTGGACGCGGACACGGTCTGCACGATCAGCTCGGACACCGACGGCCCCGCGGGCTTCTTCTTGGCGGCGGCGGCCTTGGCCGGTTTCTTCGTCTTCTTTGCGGCCGGGGGCTTCTCGGGAGCGGCAGCGGCGATAGCCGCGGGAGCGGACGGCGCCGTCTCGGACATGATGCTTTGGGAGGCAGCGAGCAAAGTCAAAGCGAGAAGCTGACAAGCGAGAAAGACGCCGAGCGCCCGGGCGCCGCGTATTTATAGGGCGGGGCCGCGCTGTGATTGGTGCGCGCCGGCGCCCGCGCTCGCCGCCCGGCGCCCCCCGCACCTCTGCGGCCCGCGCGCAGCCCCCGGTGCCACCCGCGCGGGGCGCGCGGACCCAGGGGACCGCGTGGAGATGCAAATAGCTAGTGCGGACGCGCGTTCCGCTCCCGCGCACGACTTTCCTTGCAGGAAACAGGAGAGTCTATTTGGAGATGATTTGCCTTTCTTTTTTCCCACCGCCTAGGCTGGCGGCTTGTAACTTAAATCAAGATTTAAGAAGTTTCACCTGAAACTTGGCTAAAGGCAAGCGTTGCTAAGATTTCCTTTTTAACGTACGGGAGACGTAAAGGGAGTGAGAGAAGTCAGGTTTTAGATGCTTTTCCACCCCTGCAACATAGTCCAAGATGACTATAATCCCTGTTGGCTAGTCGTATTTACTTACTCTGACTTTGGGGCCACACTCAGCGGTACTCGGGGATCACGCCTAGCAAACTAGGGGACCATATAGGGAGCCAGGTATCAGACCCAGGTCAGCCACATGCCAGGCGAGCGCCTTGACCTCTCCGCCCAGCATATATTCAGACATAAGACACCACCCACCCCCAAACCTTACTTGAGACGTTAACTAAACCAGAAATGTTGACAATGTACCTCTGGAATTAGGTTGTTTTATGACAAGTACGAGAGGACACAACCTCTTAGTTTGCATTGTTTTCTACTCACCTGGTTTTGTTACTTACAACACCAAGAATGGTAGAACAAACCTACATTGCGAAACAATCTGTAGATAACTAGCGCACTTTAATTCGGCGCCCAACAGCAAAGAAAACATGGTGACGTCATGTTCCCGCGGGCGGGAGCAGTTACTGTTCTCAAACAAGTCCGCATATTCCAAAGTAATGTAAATTTCCCAGTATCCTTCAAATATTACGGTTTAACAAGATTAATATACTTCATCTATCACTCTGCATCTAATTTTTATGTTTTCAAACTCGTCAGCTTTTGAACAATTTAGAAAAAAATGGAGCTATGAATTTTTTAAAAGGTTTTGAAATATTTATGTGTGATAAGTGCTAGGTCATAGTATGTACATTTTCTTAGGTGTCAGCAGAAAATATTCCATAAGAGTTAGTGTCATTTCGCTGTTTAACACTATATCGTAGGTTTCAAGGATATCTTTAGTCGATTGCTTTTTTTCCCCTAAAGTTAGACCCCGATGCGTACCAAGTAGGAAGCGGAAGATACTTATATTAACGGGAGGAACGCAATAAACACTCGGTTTTCCCGCAAAAGTTATGAAAAGTAGAAAGCAAAACAACTAAGATGCAGAACACTAAATTCAAAGAAAAGCAGCTTAAGTTTTTTTTTTAAAAAGGCTACGGACATAGTAACCAATGAAACTGCAGGACTGTTGGAGGGCTTGAAAACAGACCAATCAGAATCCGGAGTTACCGCATCGCCTCATCCAATCACGACACAAGATGTACTATAAATAAAGGCAAAGCGCTTAGTTAGAAACAAAGCAGTTTCTTGCTCGCTACGTGCTTTCGGTAAAGATATGGCCCGCACCAAGCAGACGGCTCGTAAGTCGACCGGCGGGAAGGCGCCCCGCAAGCAGCTGGCCACCAAGGCGGCCCGCAAGAGCGCGCCGGCCACGGGCGGCGTCAAGAAGCCGCACCGCTACCGGCCCGGCACCGTGGCGCTGCGCGAGATCCGCCGCTACCAGAAGTCCACCGAGCTGCTCATCCGCAAGCTGCCGTTCCAGCGGCTGGTGCGCGAGATCGCGCAGGACTTCAAGACCGACCTGCGCTTCCAGAGCTCGGCCGTCATGGCGCTGCAGGAGGCCTGCGAGGCCTACCTGGTGGGGCTCTTCGAGGACACCAACCTCTGCGCCATCCACGCCAAGCGCGTCACCATCATGCCCAAGGACATCCAGCTGGCCCGCCGCATCCGCGGGGAGCGGGCGTAACTCTAGCAGAATTTATAAAAACCAAAGGCTCTTTTCAGAGCCCCCTACGTTTTCAACAAAAGGGGCTGTAAGAGTACTAATGAAGGAACAAAGGGAGTGTTAATACCCCCATTTATTATTAAAACAAATATTTTCAGTCTAAAGCAGTTAACATAACATAAATATTTGCAGTCTAAAGCAGTTAACATAATAGGTTAGAGTGTTGATCCAGGCTCTAAACTAATGAGTATACAACTTGGAAAATAAACTTGTAGAAAGCGAAAAATTAATTTCATGGGCTGGAGAGAGCACAGCGGGTAGGGCGTTTCCCTTGCACGCGGCCAACCCGGATTCGATTCCCAGTATCCCATATGGACCCCTGAGCACCGCCAGGAGTAACTCCTGAGTGCAGAGCCAGGAGTAACCCCTGTGCGTCGCTGGGTGTGACCCAAGAAAAAATTAATTTCAGTTCCGTGTAACTATCACCGCAGTTTGCCATGAAATGCCACACTATCTTAAAGTGTTTGGAACCAATTAAGCAACAAGGACCCCAAAGCAGACACGCAAAGCTGGGTTCCCTGTCGCTTCACCCACCTATTTCTCCTTAACCAGCACTTCCGGGTACTCACAGGCGGGCTTAAAGGGAATTGATGACGTCAAATTTCCCGCCTAAAGCGGTCTTGGTGCTCAGGCGCCCGGATGTGGACGGGGCGGGGCGCGGGCGGCGCGGGGCGGGGCGGGCGCGGGCGGGGCGTTACTAAGAGATATAAGGATGAGCTCCGGGAACCTTGTGTTAGTTGTTCCTGACTTCTGCAACCATGTCTGGACGCGGCAAGGGCGGCAAGGGCCTGGGCAAGGGCGGCGCCAAGCGCCACCGCAAGGTGCTCCGCGACAACATCCAGGGCATCACCAAGCCCGCCATCCGCCGCCTGGCCCGGCGCGGCGGCGTCAAGCGCATCTCGGGGCTCATCTACGAGGAGACCCGCGGGGTGCTCAAGGTCTTCCTGGAGAACGTCATCCGCGACGCCGTCACCTACACCGAGCACGCCAAGCGCAAGACCGTCACGGCCATGGACGTGGTCTACGCGCTCAAGCGCCAGGGTCGCACCCTCTACGGCTTCGGCGGCTAAGCTCGCACCCCCTCAACCAACCCCCAAAGGCCCTTTTCAGGGCCGCCCATCTCATCGGAAAAGAGCTGTGGCGGCTTGATTTCTTTCGCCAGTGTTGCCACTGTATCTGCCTAGGTTGAAAGAAAGCTCCAAACCTGCAGGGTTCTAAGGTATGCTCTAAGTTTGGGTTTGGGTTTGGGTTCTCATCAGCGGGTGAAGCTGGTGAGGCGGAAATCTGCCTACTGGGCTTGGGTCCCAGGAACAAAGAGGAACCTTGGCCAATCGTGGGTCGGGTGCTCGGGCCAATCAGAACTGATGATCTCATCCGGTTGCGCGGGAGAGCTGTTCGGATGTTATCGACTGGAAATGTTTTTATCAACAGGCTTGATTTTGGGGAGAAAGTACCTCCCCATTGCTGGGTATCATACCTAAAGGAGTCCGCGTGCAAGGCAAGTTATTTGCCCTGTCTTCCTGGTAGGATTACAAAAGACTGAAATGGCGACAGAGAAAAGAAATCTTAACCCCAGAAAACTGCTTTTTTTAAGAAAAAAGATGTGTAGAGATGAAGCATCCCTGTGTCAGCATAGACCTTTTGAAGTTAGATACTCATTGCCACAAAGTAATGGAGATTTAGAAGATAAGAATGTTCTGAAAACTTGGTTTTTATACAATTAAGGAAATATGCTAAAATCATTTCGCATTAACGTGGGTGCAGTTTATTTTTAAACCATCTCCCAAAATATATACGCATGTATGTAATATGCACAATTTCTAACATAATATTTGCATTCCTTTATAGGTAAACTGCTGCATGTATATAAGAACCACCCCCCTACCCCCACCCTCCCACTGCAGGTACCGTGGCAGAAGTTTGGAACCACATACCTCTGTGTCACGGAAGCTTGGCCAGGTTTCCTGGTTTTCTCAATTGTTTCTTAGTTTAGATTTGGGGGCTTTCGGGCATCATGATCCCAATCACTGCTCAGGGGCACCCAAGGAGTCAATACTTGGTCAGCCCCCTGACCTGTGGTTGGTGCTTAGTGACTAGGTAGGTGCCTCTAGGTGTTGCCTTGCTCCTGTTCATCTGAGTATTGGGAGAGGGATGTAAATGGTGCAGAAGACTGTTCTGGTAAGGCAGGCACCCCTATCTACTAAACTATCTCTCCATACCCTAGCCATAGGTATTAGGTATTAATTTGGGTTGGGGGACCCACCTGTTGCGGAAAATAGACCCCATCCACAACTTCAATCAGGGTAACCCCAGACAGTGGGTGCAGCAAACGCCAGCTGAATCTGAGTGACATGACCAAAACCTGAAATGTATTTGGGATGTCTGTGAGATGATCCTAGTTTGGCTTATAGGCCTAGTAACCTGGGAATGAACTCCAGTTATGCTTGTGGCGTTGAGGTGGTCCAACTCTGCTTTCCAAAATAACGTGCTTGGGAATTTCTGCTTCTCTACTCACCTTCCCTCTGTCTGTAAATGCCCCGTCTCCCATCAGATAACCCCTAAAATGAGCTCTTGCTGTTTATTCTGCATCCAGTTCCAGAGCATGAGCTCAGTTGAGCTGCTAACCTAATAAAATTTCTTTTCCCATATATCTCAAGGCGTATTGCTTCGATTTTCACTGATTTTTTTATTTTCAAAACCTAGCGGTACTCTTCACTTGCTCAGGGATTGATTGTTAACAGTAATGTTCATTGGACAATGAAGTGTTGTCTGCAAAACATGCGTGCATTCCGTTCCTCTGAACCCTTCGGTTTTAATAAAGGATGTCCCAGTTTAAACCTTAGATCTCAACTAGAGAAGAAACTAGAATTCACTTGAAGTTGGCTATTGAACTGCTTATTCTCATTTAAAGAGGTTTTTCCACTAATGCCTCTGTCATTGGATTTTTGATATTTTCATACAGACCTGTTTGTTTCAACCATTATGTCTGTTCCACCTCTAACTTCTCCCTCCAGTGATATCCTACCTATGCTAGCTTAATTTAAACAGTGAGGACATCCTGTATGGTCTGAGAAGGAAAAATGGGCCTGATTAGGTGGTGATCTTGCCTCTTTTTAGTGAAAGTCCCTTCAAGAAATATCTGTTGAACTTATGTAATGTGCTTTGTTTCATACAGAATAAATTCATGTCCTCTGTCCAGAATGTTGCTAACCTTTGTGGGAGTGCAGCTGGAGTATTAACTATCTGCAAGCTTGTTTCTGTTCCATTCAAATTGACCTAATTCATGGCATTACTGGTTGTCACACACAGTCCTACCCACCGCAATAAAGCGTGAAAATCTGATTCTTTCTCATTCCTAAAACTCATGAAGTCCTTGATCAGAACAAAAATAATAGTGCCTGATATACTTCCTTGCATCATTGGTTCCTTAAGATTTGCTAGAGAATAATGTCATGGTGAAATATTCAAGTTAGAAATCAAGGAACTGATTCTTGATATGAGGAGAAAATGATGTATGCACTCATTCAAAGTACCTTCATAAACTTTTAGGTGATGTCAGCCCTATGAGATAATTCACTAGTGCATTAAATAGGAATTTGCAAACTCGGGGGCTTCGGCCAAGGACATAAAGCAGCAATACAATTTCCCTAAATGTCTGACCATTGGATTTCCAGGGTAATCACACTCTGAACTCCAACAGTAGGAGTAATGAATGGTAAACGGGGGCTGGTTAAGAGCAGGAAAAAGGGGAAATGGGAATAAGGTAAAATGAAACCCTTTCCTAACATTGCACAGAAGCCAACGCCCAGAATTTCATAGGCAGTGTAGAACTGATCGAGACTTGCCTGTGGCATATCCCGACAAATACTTTGATCTTATGGGGACTCAGGTTATCACTGAAATCTCAAGTTAAAGCTGAGGCCTATCCCTTCTACTTGACAACACAATTTAGATTTCAAACATTGAATAGGTGGGGCTGCGCATTTGTCGACATTCACTGCTTTTAAACACACGTATAAGTTAGCAATTGTGTCCCTGGTTGCAAGAATTAATCACAAGTTGCTAAAACGGGAAAATTGACAGGACAATTATCAGTTCTTTTAAAGGAAAAAAAAAAATCAAGATTCAAAGACTGAAAGCAACACATAAAAGAATTTAGAATTACAGCAGTACAGCACTTTCAAAGAGATAGTGGGCGGCCCTGAAAAGGGCCTTTGAGAGTTTGATGAGGGGTGCGAGTTTAGCCGCCGAAGCCGTAGAGGGTGCGGCCCTGGCGCTTGAGCGCGTAGACCACGTCCATGGCCGTGACGGTCTTGCGCTTGGCGTGCTCGGTGTAGGTGACGGCGTCGCGGATGACGTTCTCCAGGAAGACCTTGAGCACCCCGCGGGTCTCCTCGTAGATGAGCCCCGAGATGCGCTTGACGCCGCCACGCCGGGCCAGGCGGCGGATGGCGGGCTTGGTGATGCCCTGGATGTTGTCGCGCAGCACCTTGCGGTGGCGCTTGGCGCCGCCTTTGCCCAGGCCCTTCCCGCCTTTGCCGCGTCCGGACATACTGTACAACTGTTCACACAGAACAGAATGAAGACGATGGGGCAGACACCGGCAGTTATATGCTGCAGGCGGACCTGATTGAGAACTAGAAGCGCGGGCGGGAAACGCGTCCCCGCCCCTTCACCCTTCGGCCCGCCCCTCTAGGAGAGCAGCCCAGCGCTGTGAGAGAACCTGACCTTGCATAGGTTCTTTTGCAGGCTTTCACCTTTTATATCCGTTATAACTTGGGTCCGAATTTTTATCTTTGGCAATTTAAGCAAGTAGTTGTTTCATGAAAACACTTTACATTAGTCAGAATGAAATGGTTACTAAGAAAAGCAGATGAAGGCATCCCAAATTAGATGTTTAGGGACTTGCCTTCAAAACTTGCCGCACTTGGGCGTGAAAGGCGTGAAAAGTAAAGAACCTGTGTGGGGTCCAAGAATTATATTGATCCGATTGAGTTTACCAGACAGAAAAGACAAAGAATACAATTCTGTAAGTGACATGTACACTTTAAGAAAAACTCGCAACTTTCCCAAACTGAGGAAGGTGCTTGTGAGGTTTGGGTCACACCCGGAGTATCAGGCTTTAGTAGGCTCTGCTGTTTTGGGTTTGTTTTTGTTTTTTTCTTGGCGGGGGTAGGGGGGTGGTGTAACTCAGAAAAGTACCCAGGAGACCATCAAATGCAGCACCAGAACATTTCGTCCACAGGCAAGTGCCCTAACACTGGCCACAATTTTTTACTGTTACAGGAGAATTAAATTATAAAAGAATATTAACAATGGAGAACTAAAATCTGTTACGATTATTTTACTTTCTTTTGTTGACTTCCCACAACTGCCTAAACCTTTTATTAATTAGCAAGTTCTAATCACTTATTTCCCTTACGTGTACGGGAAGTATGCATTGAAATATTCTAATGACTATTTTGTAGCTCTAGGAACTGCAAGACAGCTGTTCCATACCCTGCATCTGTGTGAAATGGCTCCCCAGTCTATAAAGGTAATCCCTAGTTTAGAAATACATACCATTTAACATCCTTGAAACTACCAACTACATGGGATAGAGCAAGGGATAGAATACAGGGCCCAAAGTATAAAAGACCACATAAACAGAAAAATAATTAAATTATGCATAGTTCAAAAGTGGTAGTCCTCAGTACCTGGTTCACTTAAAAGAATAAAATGCTAATACAATAAATGAAAAACAACTAACACTCAGGTGAGGAGTAACAGATCTTTCAAGCAAAAAATGTAAGTAATACAGAGTTGTTTACGTGTATGGCAGCTGCTTTCACTGAAAGAAATGGGTGGCTCTGAAAAGAGCCTTTGTGTTTCGAGGGTAGGAACAGATTACGCCCGCTCCCCACGGATGCGGCGAGCCAGCTGGATGTCCTTGGGCATGATGGTGACGCGCTTGGCGTGGATGGCGCAGAGGTTGGTGTCCTCGAAGAGCCCCACCAGGTAGGCCTCGCAGGCCTCCTGCAGCGCCATGACGGCCGAGCTCTGGAAGCGCAGGTCGGTCTTGAAGTCCTGCGCGATCTCGCGCACCAGCCGCTGGAACGGCAGCTTGCGGATGAGCAGCTCGGTGGACTTCTGGTAGCGGCGGATCTCGCGCAGCGCCACGGTGCCGGGCCGGTAGCGGTGCGGCTTCTTGACGCCGCCCGTGGCCGGCGCGCTCTTGCGGGCCGCCTTGGTGGCCAGCTGCTTGCGGGGCGCCTTCCCGCCGGTCGACTTGCGAGCGGTCTGCTTGGTACGAGCCATGGCAAGATCTCAGCAAGAGTAGGAGGAATGCCTGGGTGGTGTAAACCAGCATTGCTTTTATAGAGCAAACTCACCAACCATTGGTTCCCTCCAAAATTTAAAAAGTCCCGCGTCCTCCGCGGATTGGCCTATTTGGGAGGGTTTCCCCGGATTAAGACCTGCTTTCAGATTGGTGGTTAAAGCCAAATCCCGCCCTTCAACTCGGTATGACGTCATTTTATTTACCCTTTGCGACTCGGCGGGCATTATTTGCGCTGTGAGCTTTAGAGACTTAAAATGTAAAGCAGATTAATTAATCAAAGCTGTTCCAGTACCTCATTTTTTTTCCAAAAGCTAACCAGAGAACTTCAAAAGGTCTTTGGAAACCTACATATTGCGCCCCTGGTGAAATCTTTGCTCTGGGCGTGGCACTATTGTGTAGCGGGGATAATGGTCTCCATGTACAAGACTGAAATGGCCGTGGATTTTTTTACACCAAATTTCTCAAACAAACGTGTGGCTTGTTCGGTTTACATTTTGCCGATCCAATATTTGCAGTGCTGTAAAAATGGTAGTCCATGTATGCATCACGCACTCCGGCTTTCTTGGACATGTACATATACGTTCTTAGGAGCTGAACCCGTGTTTTCTCTTGACATAGGTCACAAAAGGTATTTTGTTCAAAATGTGTATGTGCTATACTAGTAGTTTCAGAGGGATCCGCAAGCAGGTTTATTTAAGGAAAGGAACAAGTGCTTGAAATCACAGGATAAACAGGTTTTAGTCCTGTCTGCACAACGCAGACGTCTGTACAGAAAAACAAAAATGTAAGCAACACCAGGTAATGGTGCACTCATCTAATTTCCCTACATGAGCTCGACCTAGTGAGCAGCTCTTTAAAAAGAAACTGTGGGTGGCTCTTAAAAGAGCCTTTGCAATTATCGTGACGATCCTGGGAGTTCGTGTTAAGGCTTTACTTTCCCTTAGCCTTGTGGTGGCTCTCGGTCTTCTTGGGCAGCAGCACGGCCTGGATGTTGGGCAAGACGCCGCCCTGCGCGATGGTCACGCGTCCCAGCAGCTTGTTGAGCTCCTCGTCGTTGCGGATGGCCAGCTGCAGGTGGCGCGGGATGATGCGCGTCTTCTTGTTGTCCCGGGCCGCGTTGCCCGCCAGCTCCAGGATCTCGGCCGTCAGGTACTCGAGCACGGCCGCCAGGTAGACCGGGGCGCCGGCGCCAACCCGCTCCGAGTAGTTGCCCTTGCGGAGCAGCCGGTGCACGCGGCCCACGGGGAACTGCAGGCCGGCTCGGGAAGAGCGGGTCTTGGCCTTAGCGCGAGCCTTGCCACCCTGCTTGCCGCGTCCAGACATCTCTATTTAAAAGCACGAACTCGTCTCTTCAGAGAAAAGAGGAACAGTGTGTCAGAGACTGGCGCTAGAGAAGTATTTATACTGACTGGAGGTAGGCTACATGCCGCGTTTCTATTGGCTCTCTAAATGTGACCAATGAGAATGCAGAACCTGCATCCTTCATTTGCATCAAATCCACCGAGCTACAGTGAGGTTTTTCTTTGCTTCGCATTAGGTCTCATAAATTTTTACTTCAATAGTAGTAATCATCACATTAATTTAATTTTCTCTTTCACTGCTCTGACGTTTCTTTGTTCTCACTGGCTTTCAATGTCGTGCCTTACGATTTTGGAAAGAAATAAATTAAACAAATTCTTCAAAGGTGTGACTGAGTTACTTCTGTGCATTAATCCCTAAACTTCCGACCTGAAATGGACTTCAGAACTTCCATTTAATTCCCCTCTTAATGTGTAAGACCTTCTGATATATTCAAGGTATTTAAAGTGGTGCCCTTAGATTATAAACTGGGAAAATGAGTCACAGCACGTATGTAACACTTCTAAGGGTAAAAAACACTGAATTAATGAGATCAAGGAAACCAGTTCCTCCTCACTGGAAATGTCCTTGCTATCACTCCCCAGCGCAATTCTCAAACCTGCTATCCTCATTTCTTTCCCCACTGGGCTATAGGACAGGATTCTAGTTATTTCATGATACTTCCACATCATCTCCCAGATCCTTGCAACATTAGGGCTGCTGAGAAAACTGAATACATGTGATCCATTTTATTTTTAAACAATAGAGCTTTATTGAGAAAAAGGTTACGTTTAATGAATACAAATTGTAGTGTAAAATTAAGTCTTCATAATACTTTTTTGGGGCGAGGTGGGATGGATTATGGGCCATACCTGGAGGCATTTCGGGAACCAAGGGATGCCAAGGATCAAACTAGGGGTTGTCTGTAAAGAGGATGACTGGAGTAACTCCAGAGTACAAGAAACCTCAAGACATTTAGGAAGTACAAGAGCATTCAGTACCACAGAAACATTCAAAATGAGATCTCTGTTTGCATTAATTTCACCAAAGAGTGATTGTCAGCTATTAAGAATTCACAATCAAGGAAGAAAATCAAGACAAATTTGCAAGCAAAATCAAACTTGCTCTTCATCCACCCCACCCCACACCCTTTTTCACATGGTCCATGAGATAAATCAAAAAGAATTGTAATTCAGCACATTTTTTAAGTTTCAAAAGGGTAAAACTGATTCCCAAACCTAACTTTTAACCTCTCTACAAAGGGTATCATTTCAGCCTATGGATTTTAGGAACACAAATATTCTTACATTATTCTTATCTATTCTTACATTATGTTAGCAAGAAAATTAATTTTGATGTTTCTCTAACAAATAGTTTTAGAAGTTGGATTCATGAATTAATGCATTTTACTTTTATGTATTTTTATTATGTACTTTTATTACTTTTGTTATGTACTTTTTCACTAATACATTTTACTTTTCACTACAATGGCTTCCTGAAATGCTGTTTACAGTCTTATCAATAGTGTCTGTCCTTTTTCTAACTTTTATAGTCTTTAGAGTCAATACTGAGTTTTACATCTGCTCATCTGAGACATGTTGGACAATTAAATCATTACTGTTTATTTTTTTTTCAAATTATTATTAATGAGCCTGTACATGTTTGGAGTCATTGCTTTGATAATTCTTGCTATGCCCCTTTTTCCTTAATAGGTGGCAGAATTATTCTCCTTGAAATTGATGGATTTTAGAAAATTCACAAGTAAGCTTATATGTCAATTATCTTTCTAAGATTGATTAAAATATAAATTCATTAAGTCTTCCTGAAAAGTCAGCATGATTTAATTGCTATTGATGTAGGCAGGATAGGGAAGGCCCCTTCCCAAGGCAATGGCAAATATTTCCTGGGAAGAACTAGCCCCGAAGTTGCTGGGAAAGCCTGATAAGACCCTCAGAAGAAAACAGGAAAAAACAGGAACTAACGCCCCATAAGACCCTCACCCATCTACTGCAACAGACCCAGAGAAGCTCCTGTAGAAACAAAAGGCTTCCAGGAAAGGAAATTCAAAGAAGACCATTACTACTCCCAATCCCCTTGGTAACCGCCTTAGCAACAGACTTTTACTTAGGTAGAAGCCCCACATGGGGGCAAGGTTGGAGAAACCCTGTAAAGGCCACCTTGACCAAAGGAAGAGTACACATATGCTGCCCTAGTTCCTATACTGCTTGCACACATATGGCCAAGCACATGAGGAGCCTGAGCACCTGTGTTGCCCACATCTCCCCTCTTGAGATGTGTACATTCATGCTTTTCTGTCTAATGCTGGGATGTGTGTGAGGGCTCTCTCCACCCTTGGAAGAAGCCCAGGTTCTCTCTGGAGCACATTACTCTCCACTCTGTTCCACTTTCTCTTCCTCCTCCCCTTCGAAACCTCCAAATTAAAAACTATGTAATTTCACTGGTCGTCTACTCCTAAAATTTCTTTCCGGGGGGTGACATAAGAACCCAGTAACCTTGGGTCCCAGGTAGCAGAGGTGGATTGGAAGAAAGCCACAGTCTTTCTCCTCCCCACTACACAGGAGCCACCCTTGGGGCCCACCCACATCACTATGATTGGCACTCCTTTTTTTACAGAGGAAAGCAAGTGCTATAAGCCACTTGCTGCATTTTATATGCTTGCTGATTTTCACCCCGTGACGTATTCGATATGCCAAACACAGTAACAACAAAGTCTCCAATGGAGACGTTACTGGGCCCGCTCAAGCAAATCGATGATCAATGGGAGGGCCTTTACTTACTTTACTTTACTGTCGATTGTTGAGGTTCATAGGTTATTCCTTCAGTTTCATCAGTTTTCCCTTATACATTTTTTCTCTTTAGTTTATTAGATCATGTGTATTTCCTCTTTTATCACTCTGTGATGCTCCTTTCTGACATAATTTTCCATGCTCCGAAGTCCCTCTTACTAATGCAGGCACTCCTGCTTTCTTGATGTTTGGATGGTTTATCTTTACCTGCCATTGGGGTACAGAGGAGAAATGACCCTGCATTTCAGTTACTTTCGAAAGTAAGAGAATGAACAAATGAATAGCAAGCAAATGAGCAGAAGAAATAGGAGTTAGTAGAGGGGTTGAGGGGGCAGGAGAGATAGTACAGCATTAGGGCTTCTGCCTTGCACTTGACCAAGTCAGGCTCGATTCTCAGCATATATGGTACCCTGAGCCAGCCAGGAGTAATTCCTGAGTGCAGAGCCACGAAGTATGCACTGCCAGGTGTGGCCAAAAATCAAACCTTAATTTTTGAAGTCCAGGGAGGGAGGATGGAAATTTTGCATATGCTATGTGAGAAAGAGGTCTGATAAGGTCAGCCGACATGCTGGATTTAGGAAGAATAATTTTAAATATTTCTTGAGTCTTTTTGCTGCTAAGTTAATATTTATTTGAAAGCCCTTCGTATGTCACACAAACAGAAGATGCCCGGAAACTGAAGCAAAACGCTGTTAGGTAGGCAAATTAAGGGTGATTTCTTACCCGTTTTTACCCTCTTCCAAACCGGGTCCAAAATATTCATGCAGTGAATATTTTGGGAGATCCCAATCCTACAAGAATCCTGCAGAGGAAAGTCAGCAAGAAACTGTTCCCCAGCTGGAGTCCGCCCTGCAAGCCACACGGTGGCGCCAAAAATAAGGGCGGGAAATTCAAATTAATTGTCCTGCTTAGACCTTGGGGGCGCTCTCCCGCCAATTTAACTGGAACACCCTAGTGACTGAAAACGGAAATCCTATTTCTTGAAATGCAGAAAAACTACTTTTGGATGCCATGGAGAAACAATCGAAGTTAAACTCATCAGTACGCAGAGAACTCCAAGCACAATCCATAAAAGTAAGCAAATGTCACAAGCGAGTTTGAGTGATCTAATCGAGGATAAGTCAAATTATGTTATAAATCTTATCTGAAATCTTTAACGCCCAAGTAGATTATTTTCCCTTGAAGTACTACCCCCTGGTAACTAAGGCGAAGGGATGGCAGTTGGAGAGTCATAGCTCTTTTTTGATCAAGTGGGTGGCTCTGAAAAGAGCCTTTGGATTGATAGGTGCCTTCTTAGGCACTTACTTGGAGCTGGTGTACTTGGTGACGGCCTTGGTGCCCTCGGACACGGCGTGCTTGGCCAGCTCCCCGGGCAGCAGCAGGCGCACGGCCGTCTGGATCTCCCGCGACGTGATGGTCGAGCGCTTGTTGTAGTGCGCCAGGCGGGACGCCTCGCCGGCGATGCGCTCGAAGATGTCGTTGACGAACGAGTTCATGATGCCCATGGCCTTGGACGAGATGCCCGTGTCGGGGTGCACCTGCTTCAGCACCTTGTACACGTAGATGGAGTAACTCTCCTTGCGGCTGCGCTTGCGCTTCTTGCCATCTTTTTTCTGAGCCTTGGTGATGGCTTTTTTGGAGCCCTTCTTAGGAGCAGGAGCCGATTTAGAAGGCTCAGGCATGATTTCTCACAGTTGTAGGGACCGACAAACCCACAACAGAGAACCGAGTCCAGTACGCTACGCAGCACACAAATTTATACTTGTTCAATGCAAATGAAGCTCCAAATCTATCGATTCTGATTGGATGGAAACAAACTCGCCTGTAAAGGGCGGGGTTTATGCAAATCAAGGTTTCGCGCTTTCTTTTTCTATTGGATAAGCAAAGTAAACGTAATGACCAATCAGGAAACGTACTGGTACATCCATGCTCTACCTATAAAAGACGTTTCTCCGGCTACTTTTACATTGCTTCTGCTTGTTTAGCTGCAGCTTATTCGACTTAATCATGTCAGGCCGAGGAAAGCAGGGTGGCAAGGCTCGTGCCAAGGCCAAGACCCGCTCCTCCCGAGCCGGCCTGCAGTTCCCCGTGGGCCGAGTGCACCGGCTTCTCCGCAAGGGCAACTACTCGGAGCGGGTGGGCGCCGGCGCCCCGGTCTACCTGGCGGCCGTGCTCGAG